GATACAGTAGTGACAGACAAATACATTACTGCTGCAGGTAGATAGATAATTAAAAACTTTGATACAGTAGATAGATAAACATGTGGTAAATACTACTGTATATGATTAAAACCCAAACTGTGTTTTTTTTAATCTAATGTAAAATTATATGCTTTATTCATTTCTGACATTCATGTTTTGAGCAAATGCCTCATAAATTAAAAACAATATCTAACAAAGTATTTTTAAGTTAAAAATTGAAAACCTAACTAGACTAATTTCTTAAATCCCTGAAATGGACTTTAATCATATGCTAACCATACATGTTTGCTCAGAATTAGATAAGCAGTGAAGCCCAGCTATCACCAAGCCAGCCCCGTTGGTGGTCACTACAGTACTGTATTTGAAATAAAAGCTTCACGAATTCCTAAGCTATCTTTGGTTGCATCTACGATTTTTTTTACTATTATTTGTATACCAGCACTGTCTGTGTGTATGATGAACTAATGTGAACTAGGAAAAACTTTACTTCCACACAACCATGGAATCGGTTAATATTCGTCCATTGGTTGTCGGCAGATTCTCTCCATGTTTACCAAAGGTTATATTTCTCACTTAGTTGTCTCCTGACCTCCTCCTCCTCCTTGTAGGCTAGGTTAGGGTAGGTTGGTTGGTTCCTTTGGTATGAGAATAGTTTTTGAGTGTTTTACTCAAATTTGACCTCCATTTTTGTGCAAAAACCGCTAATTCGAAAAAGAAATAAATGTCAGAGTTGAGTAAAACACACCGAAAACGTAAAGAAACTAAATAAATAAATATTTTCATACCAAAACCTAAGGACAGCCAATGGACGAATATTTACCATGGAATCTTAAGAATTTTATCTTAGCACTCAATAATTTAGACAATTCTAAGACCCTTCTAGGACGTTTCCCTCGCTAAGGACCCAAAAATTATCTAACCTAAATTAACCTCATCTCACCTCTTTGGACCCCCCTCCCCCCTCCAGGTACAGGTATACTTAAGTCATTGCCAGGGAAATGTCATAGACGAGGTTGCCATGAAGGTCTCAAGTAAAAGCGGTAACGCCACGATCCCTCATCTATTCATATAACAAAAAGGAGAATGAAGACATGGAACACAGACGTGATTCTTCCCCCAAAAACACATAAATGAAGATTAAAAAATAACGCGAGGAAAGAAATGACCCCCCTCCCTCCCCAATTCGGCAGCTGATCAATTCTTTCCTTCGTTATCCGGTACGAATAAGCACGCCTAATCGATACACATCACAATGAAGTATTTGGGCTTCATAACACGTGATACTTAGCTCGGGATGTCAAACGCAGGTACAATTTTAAGAAAATAATTACTCGACACGTCGGTATAAGGTCCTTACCTCTTCACCTGTCAAAGTGAAGTGAAGTAATATGTATTTTAACAGAAAAGTACTCCAGAAAATTGGAATTCGTTGTTTTATTGCGGATATATGTCTATTCCTGGTTTGTGTTACGGGGGCTCGTAAATTTAGGAGGTAAATTACATGTTACATATTACTAAAAGAACCAGTTTCCTTAATGGACCCGGAAACACCAACAGTTTTGAAAAACATCAAATATCTTATGCTTAATAAATGACGTATTGAAACATTTTATATGAGACAATCATGCCATTATATAGTATTTTCTTAGTTTAATCAATATACAAAAGTCTTAAATAAGATAACTTGTAGTGAAGGATTACAGTATATCTGGGCCGGGTGGTTGGCAGCCCTGATGTCGTCTGCAGGTATCAACACAACACTGTAGACGTTCATGACTCCATAAACCTATCAATCAATTTTTTCAGCAAGATTTTTATTTAATTTCTCCGTTGACCACAATACTTAAATAAATATAAACAGTGATGGAGCAGATGATAATAAATGTAATATACCGCTTTCCTCCATTATTTCTAAATTGAAAGCTATACGACTGAATATTTTTATTTTTCCCTTCATGATCACAACATAAGTTTTGTAAATACTGTAAAACATGTACCTCTTTTATCCTCTTCACCACTGATCGGCTCGTTAGCCGCTGGGCGATCGGTCACGTCTCTGTTACGCACTGTTGGCAAGTACTGTACTGGGGATGCACCGGCTCCTGAATGTACCTGAACCTGCTCCAGTGTTGGTCAAGTCTGGTCTTGAAAGAGGTCACACTCGGTGCCGAAACAACACTTTCTGGTAAATTGTTCCAAGAGTTCACAACTCTCACTCCGAAAAAGTTTGCCCTCACAGTTTTCTGGACCTGCGGCTTCTTCAATTTTGAACTGTGACCCCGTGTGGGGCGAGCGTCAGCCAGCTCCAAGTAAGGACACTCGACTGAGTAGTGCCCCTTGAGATGCTTTTTCGGAGTGAGGGTTGTAAACTCTTGGAACAATCTACCAGAAAGTGTTGTGACGGCACCGAGTGTGAGCTCTTTCAAGGCAAGGCTTGACCAACACCGGAGCAGGATCAGGTGCATTCAGGAGCCGGTGCATGCCCAGTACTTGCCAACAGTGCGAAACAGAGACGTGACCGATCGCCCAAGCGGCTAACGAGCCGATCATTGAATCTCAGCAGTCACTTCTTCGACCATTCTTGGAGTTCACAGAGATCCTTCTGCAGCTCTTCACAGTCCGCATGGTTCTTGATTTCCAGAAATAACTTGGCGTCATCGGCAAACATTTGTATGGAGGAGTGTACAACGTCAGGCATGTCATTTATGAAACAAACAAACAACAGCGGGCCCAATACACTGCCCTGTGGTACCCCGCTTGTGACAGGTACGGATGATGATTTCGTGCCATTAATCACCAGATACTGCTTGCGGTTATGTAGAAAGTCTTCTAGCCACGCTAGGACATTTCCCCGAATTCCGTACCCTTCCAGTTTGATTTTCAGCCTTTCGTGGGGTACACTGTCGAAAGCCTTGGCAAAATCTAGGTATATTGTGGGGTATGGGATATTGGTTCACACTCAGGATGGGATGGAGAAAGGAAACTCACAATGAGCTCTCTGTAAACATATTGTTTTGGATGTACAATGCAGCTTGGTGCTGGGAAGTGGCAGCGTGGTTACAAGCGTGATGTAGAGAGAGCTGGTTGGGGAGGGTGCTCAGAGGAGGACCAGCTTGTGGGTCGCCATGGTCGCCGGCGGGAGCGAGGGCCGCCAGTCAGGAGCGGAGGAGGAGGTGTTGCCTGCTGGCAGCTGTAGGTAGAAAGAGAGATAGGTCACCACGAGGTGAGGTCTTATATAGCAGAGGTAGGTGTGGCTTAATAGTTGACCTCCGTGATGTATGGCGGTGCTGGTTGCTGACCTAGACACGAGGGCAGACTGGTGAAATCGTGGGTTGGCTAATCAGCGACAAACAGCGTTTGTAGGGGAGGAATCCACTACAATATATTGTCGATATTGCCACCCCGTTCCAGAATATGGGTCCAAATATCCAATTCCTTGAGCAATTATGTTAAGCAGGAGCGCCCCAGCATAATACCGCGTTGGCAATCCTTTACAAGGTTGTTCTGTAGTAGATGTTCCATCGTGGCATCTCTGATAATACTCTCAATTACTTGACATATTATGCTGGTCAGGCTTATCGGTCTATAGATGGGAAGACAGTCAGAGGTGAATCAATTTTCAAATTTTTATTGTTGGTGTCTAGGGTATGTACTATAGGTAAAGTACAGTGCTACAGAACGTGTGCTGAAAGTTTTACTCTCTGAAAGGCAGCAAAACATTACATTAACGTCAACAAGACAAAGTTAAGCCGGGGCCCACTCTAGTGTCGTGTATGAGGTGTGAACGTTTTAGAAATCTTCACTTTCATATTTCATAAAAGGGACCTCGTTTTAAATACCGTATGCTTTTCTAATACATATCTCAACACATATTTTAGATAATTTGCAATGGAATTGATTTTCAGACTACAATACTTTTCCTATCGCAATTATTGCGCAATTCATTGAAAAATGATCATGGTATGCATGAAAAACGAGCCATTGAAAATGGTGTATACTACATACTTCTAAAATTACCTGAGTTAGAAAATGACGTGTCCAGCAACAGTTCCGGGCAACAGCTGTCACAATACTTTTTATCACCAGCACCGAGACCAGTCTGATGAGTCTGTGGTTAAGGTATGATAGAAGGATCCTTCTATGTACTTTGTGGGAAACAAATCTTTGTTGGCAGAACGGACTTAGGTACAACACCACTTGCAAATAGAAAGATAGATCGATACAGCAACTTTCAGGACTTATGAATGATACCAGGGAGATATTAGGACCACTTTGTTCGCTGTGGTATGATTGTGTTTACTATTGTAGCATTGTACCTCAATAAAGCCACATACACCTCAAGTGTATTTTAAAAGAAAACTCATCCAAATATTTCACGGACAAATATACTATAAGTAATATCAAAAGGAGCTAACACTAGTACTGTAGTAAGTTCTGACGTCAACTCGTGTTATATTGATATAGAAGTTAGTTATTATAGTACCTGATCGTTGAAATATGTGTATCATCATTAATTTAGTACTGTATAGGTGGTCAATGCCCTTTTACCTCGGTAAATCAAGAGGAACTAACTACAGTATGATAATAATGTGTGTGTGTGTATGTGGAATATTTACTTGGACTTATTTAAAACTTACAGACAGCTAAGGTACGAACATGATATTAATAATTAACATTGTATAGGGACACGAATGGCGCGGTAACTATTACAAATGAACCCTAATTTTTTCCTATTGTGAAGGGGTCATTTGTCTTATGATATTAACCTTGATAAGTGCAATATTATTTTTTTTTCTTTATTGCGATCTCTTGCATGGGTGACGTGTGCCCCGGGATCCTGTAAAGTATGAGATTACTATTACTTGGTTATGTAGCATTGGATAATTTACTAACAGTGCGCAATAAAAGTAAGAAGCGGTAGAAAGGGTCCAGATTCGATGCTCTTTTGTTTATTTACAGGTTCGTGTCCACGGTGTTCTCTTACTTATTGCTATCATGGCTCGACACGGTAGGAGTGCGGGAAGAAAAATTTGAACGGAAAAAGAGTTGAAGTAGAACGTGATATACTAGTTTGAGTGGCGTGATATTGTGAGAAATATGAGTGTGGACGCGTACGGCCCCAGCTCACAAAGTCTGACCTTTTATGACACCGAGGAAAATGACTTATTGGGGGCTGACACACAGGGGTCCGAGTACGAGTTCAACCTCACACTGGGCAGTCAGACCCAGACTCAAGGAGACCCGCTGGACAAGACACAACCCACCCAGAGTCAGGTCTGTGCCGCCTTTATTCATATATGTGTCTTAATATGTCTATTATTGGCCACATGTTAACAGGTGTTAGGGAATGTGTGGATGTGTTTGTGCCTGTGACGCGGTATTTCCTGTCTGGTCTAATACGTGTTTTCTTCAAATACATGTTTATAGCCATAGGGTAAACTTAACACACCTGTAACACGTGTTTTAATTAAGTTTTGTGTTCAACCATAAATTTATGTGGGTTTTAGAAAGTGTGGTAATAGTTTACTTCACTTGCCCAGTAACTAATGATTTATTTGTGACATTTTTGTTGTATTGTTATGTAAGGAATGTTTAATTATTATAAAGCTTTTGGCACTGAATAATTATGTTTAGACAGTTTCTTTTAAATTCTTGCTTTATTGAAGTGTTTATTTGTTTGGTCATGGAACTTTACTTCCGCAATATTTTGGGCATTTGTTCTAATTAGTCGAGGCTGATGATGGCGTAGATTACTAAGTTTGGTTAGGTTGAGATGGGTTAGGTTGGTTAGGTTGAATTAGAATGTATAAGTTAGATTGGAAAGGTTAAGTTGGATAGGTTGGATAAGGTTAAGGCAGGATAGCTTGAGTTGAGTTGGGTTATATTTGCAATTGACCGATTTCAGTAATCTAGGATCGGTGTTAGCAGCCTCGATCAATCAAGGATTGCTGGACAATTAGTTGAAGTAAGTAAAGGTCCGTGGCCTTGTTTTATATAATGCAAGGTCATTCTGAGAACAGCACTACGACCAGGAGTTAATTTTTACCACAACGTTCTTATCATTATACAGTATTAGTTTTTTAAGAGCAGTGCTGGACAACTTGTACTCAAGCAAATCGTACCCAACATAACTCGTACCCAATTTACGAGACAGTTGGTATATATATATATATATATATATATATATATATATATATATATATATATATATATATATATATATATATATATATATATATATATATATATATATATATATATATATATATATATATAAGCAATACACACATATATATATATATATATGCAATGGGTAATCCACTCTCACCTGTATTAAGCAACGTATATATGGAATTCTTTGAAAAGAAACTATTAAGTAATATTTTACCACCTTCAGCAGTCTGGTTTGGATATGTAGATGATGTATTATGTCTCTGGCCAAGTAATGAGGACCTAAAAACTTTCCTGCCACTACTTAATAACTTAGCCCCCTCGATCAAATTCACTGTAGAATTAGAGCATGACTGTAAATTGCCATTCCTAGACTGTCTGATACACATAATAGGTAACACCTTTAAGTACAGTATTTATAGAAAACCTACTAATGTGTGTTCATACATTCATTATTATTCTGCCCACCACAGTAGAGTCAAACAGTCAGTATTTTCAACCATGTTTTTACGTGTTTTGACAATTTGCAGCCCGGAATTCATTGATGAGGAATATAAATATATCTATAATATTGGCTCAAACCTTAAATACCCTAGATCTTTCATAGACAAATGCCTGAACATTACTAAGAAATCTTTTTATAGAACTGATCCCAAGCCCACCCATGACCATAAGAATCTCTTAGTATTACCATTTCACAAAAATTTCTCTCAAATTCCTTTACAACTAAAAACCTGGAACGTCAATGTGGCATTTAAAAACTCATGCACTGTTAAACAAATGTTAATCAAGAACTCCCCCAACAATACAGGTGGCTGCCTTTATAAGGTTCCTTGCAAGGAATGTAATATATTTTACTTAGGCCAGACAGGTAAAGATCTTGTAACTAGACTTAAACAACATAAATATAGTGTTAGGACAGGCCAGGAATCCAATGCTCTGTTTGTTCATTTAAGGGATAATAAGCATTGCATTGACTGGGATAATGCCTCCTCAATATTACCTTGTAATTCAATTGACAGTAGGAACATTATAGAATCCAGTCTCATTAAACATACCGAATCCGTCAACATGAATTTGAGTAATGGTATGTACAAACTGGATAATTTCGTAATTAAGAAGATTTGTAACCAGGTGAGAAGGTTGGGTCATCTTACCCTCTGACCTGACTACCGGCTGCTGCGGTGCTTTTGAACATGAGTAGGGTCACGGCCTAGTGACCGGACCATTGTGGACACTCACTGTCCCCTAGGGACTTGATCTCACTCTCCTCTACTGTATATATATGACTTGTTATGCCGAAATGGCCTAAAGGCGAAATGGCCAGTAGTCCCCCCAAACAAGTCTATTTCTCCTTAGTCTGTACTCACCCTGAAGATGTGAATTACACGAAAGCGCTTGGGAACTTCGTGCTTTCTTGTTTCCTTGTGGTTATCAGCATATACCTGGATCACGCGCACCTACAGTGATTTACTTGCATATTCTGAGTAATTCAGTCAGGTCTTGACACTAAGGGTGGTATTACTTCTCACTGCCACGTAGGACAGAGGTTCATACATAAAGAAATACATCATATTCATTAACATATATACGTACATATACACATACACACACATACATATGCATACACATACCTACACATGTATACATACAGTGTATCAGATTCATGTGGCTGATGTCACTGTTCAATGCCATGCAGGACAGAGGTTCGTACACAAAAAAATACATCATATTCATTGACAGTATATATATATATATATATATATATATATATATATATATATATATATATATATATATATATATATATATATATATATATATATATATATATATATATATATATATATATATACAGTATATAATTTTTAGTAAAAAACCCGCGAATGGTCAAAACCGCGATAAAAAAAACCTGCAAAAAACACGGGATTACTGTACCCTGTATAATATTAATGGTGATTACTTCTGTCTTCAAGTATATTTTTTTAAGACAATATAATTTAGTAAGTACTCGATCTTTTAGATTATATCCATTTTCCATTTTGTTCTGTGGATCAAGGAAATAGAAACCTCAACAAAGAAGGTACAGTACTGTACAAGAGAATGACTAAAGGGCTATGCCAAATACTGGCAATGTAATCCAACACATGCACATTTCTTCAGATCTTTAACTTACCATACTTGAGCATACGGTTCTCGTTTATGTATGAAAATCTTTCTGAACTGCAATATTTCTGTGATTTTTCCTTATCCTGCAAATTATGGTGACTTAATTCCCTGAGTACAATATTATTAATGCTCAAGGGAAGGGAATCGGTCATCGTAATAAGGGGAAATATATCATACTGTGTTGTCATACACTAATCAGATTCAGTCGTCATATTTAATGGGCATGGACTAACTTATAGGTGTGCTGATTCATTTGAGTTTGCATACTACTCTAGAGGTTAATTGGCTTAAGATTTATGAGTTCCTAGATTGTTAACTAGTTAATGAGAGTTCAGTGGTGAATTTGTGTACAGTATTGTACCTTGTAGTGCCCAGTAATCAGGTCATCAGATAAGATAAGAGTTCATTACTGTACAGTACTTAAAACTGAGTTTTACAAAAAACAGGTTTTTATGAGAATAGTGCTGTTAATTACCTTTACAATTATATGATGCAATGATTGTCAATACTGTACCTGTAATAAGACGACTATGCACCATGGTTAAATTTTTGGCTACCATTTAGAATTTGTGCTTTGTTAGAAAATTTTTCACTACATGTACAATATATATAAAATTCGTCCACCTAAGGATACCCAAGAATATTTTCCATTTTTGTGGCACTATAAGTTCAATTACAGTACTGTACATATTTTACCTCTCAATAATGGACTTTGACATGTAATTTACAGATACAGTACTGTACTCTTATGGCATTTTTAATGTGCAAGGCCAGAAGGCCAGAACCATGTACTGTACTAAATGCTGTATACAATTATTATAGGCTACTAAAGGTTTTGCTATCTGTAAGATAATGTGTGTCTCTTAGGTTGTACTTTACTCGAGATTATCGAATAATTTTCCCAACTTTAATGTTAGTAACAGATTGACACTGATTACAGTTTTAGAATTATCAGTAAAGGTACAGTAGTGGTTGATGAAAACTTTTAACTCACGTTTTTGGTGTTGGTCAAGTCCGTATTTGTATGTAAGTATGGTATAGACCAGTTGTGTGTTAGGCTGAGAGTAATGCGAGTTTCTATCACATGTACAGTATGTAAAATGTGTGGCCTGGTCATTTGTTAATAGGTTTTTAACATTGGCTCTCAAGGAACTGGACCTGAAAACTGTCATAAGTATTGTAGTTGTACAATGACATAATGTCAGTGTGCAAGTTTTATAACGGTACAATATACAGTACTGTACAGTATTGATTTTAACAGCAGCAGCAAGGTACAGGTACCTATATTTAACAATATTGAACTGCTACAGTATCATGTTTTTGGTATTGATATGATATCACTTGTAATAATTGGTTAAACAACTTAATTTTCATATTTCTAAGTGCTGTTCACTAGTTGAAATTATTTAGCACAGTACATGTACATTAGTTTCTTGATAGCTGATAGGTATTGTGTAATTTTTGCCTTTATTTAGTAAAGTTTGTGTATGTGGTAAAGTAATATTGTGTCCCCCTCAAAAAATGGATAGTTATGTTTCCTTGATATTTTTTCTCATCCTAATATCAAGATACTCATGATGTAGCTTCAGGTTAAAGTTGTAATGCATGCTGGTACTTATTTATTGTTTTTTAACCGGCTTTTAGGGGTAATTTTGTCTCAATTATCTTCAGTACTTTACATAAACCTTCATTTGGAAACCACAAAAACAAGTGTATTTTTTTGTAGCCATGGTTTGCTATTTTACTGCAAGCATATATGGCATTTGTTTTTCATGTCTAACATTTTGCTCCTGTTTTAAAACATTCTGCATTTTTTTAGGTGACTGTGAATGGAGATGTTGCAGAAACTGAAGTAGAGAAGACAACAGAAGCACTTGCTGACCTACAGTTTGAGGAAGAGGATGAAGAAAATGCTTTCTACACCAAGGTTTTTATTCCTCACTTTTATTAAAGTATTAGGTTTTTTTAATTCCTTTTATATTTAGTTGGGGACGTGTAAATGATTTTGTATTGTTGACCTTCTATGCTTGAAAACTGTATTTGTAAAGTACTGTAGCTCAATAATACACATGTGCTTATCAGGAGCTGCCAGAATGGGCATGCCGATACTGTGGAATCCACGATCCAGCATCTGCTGTCATGTGCAATGTGTGTCACAAGTGGTTCTGCAATGGACGTGGTAACACCTCTGGCTCTCACATCATCAATCACCTTGTTCGGGCCAAGCATAAGGTATGGCTATTAACTCTTCCTTATGAATTTTATTTTTTTTTATTCATTATTACAAGTTTAGGTGCAGGGTGAGACTTAGATGTACTGGTACAGTACTGTAATCCTTTTGTTATGACAGTACAGTATTGTAAAGTTGGTTCCTTAACGTAGATATTGTACAAATATGATTGTTTAGAAACTCCTTAACTTAGTCCTTTATGTATGTTGTTTAATGTATCTTATTTAACTCGGTGTTACTTCTTATTAATTGTTAAAATGCAATGTTAATCAATTATTAGTTTATTAATATAAACTAATTTACTAGATTAAAAATAAATGGTGAGAATGGTCGACTTGTCTCTAGCCTGTAAGTCTATCTGATGACCACTTTTGTTCATCAGACTAATTATTTATGATAGTAATAAACCCTCACAACTATACAGTACAGTAAAGTATTATTGTACACGTGAATCATGGAATACCTGCACGTGAATTATCGTCAGACATCCGTGATTTACCCCTGACAAGCCTATTTCATGTTAAATTCACACAAAACCACTACCTGAACATCCGTAGGTGCTTCAAAGTTCCATCGGGCAATTTGCTATGAGGATTTATTTGCAATTTAAGAATATTCCATGGGATCATATACAGGTTGTACTTCTCTAGTCCGGCATTCTGTGGTCCGGAAACTCCCGTGGTTCGGAACGATTTTAGTTTGGCCATGGAGAAAATTAGAGTCTGGTACTTCCGATGTTTGGCTAAATTTTGCCTTATTTACCCTGCTTTCCTGGGGAATTACTACCTCTAATAAAGCAACATCCTAATAAACCAACGAAAATAACATATAAAGTTAAATAAAAACTAAAAACAACACAGAAAAAGTTTTTATGTTCTACAGCTTCAGCTAGAGTCGAGTTGCCAACTTCGTCATACGAGTAAAAACATGCATAACAACATTGGCTGTCCTTATGTTTTCAACTTTACCACCACTGGTGGGTAGAATTTATGTTTTAAATTCAGAAACATGAATTAAAATATATATGAACAGTAAATAAGTGTTGCTTTCATGTTCTTATGTAGAGTAATGACGATATGTTTTCACATGTGCTCACTTACATATGCGATCTCACTTTTTTCTTTTCCATTAATGGTTAGCTACTTATATTGTTCCATTTATTAACATTAAATAATATTACTTAAAACAACCATATTAATTTTTTTACATTAATTTTACTACAGCTACAACCAGGGTCTTATTTTCTTCAGTTTTATATGTAGAACCTATCAGTCACTGGTTTTGTAAACATTAACGAAAACAATGCCGTCTTGTCTCCTCGTGTGTTTTAATATTCCACGTATTATTAATGAATTGTATTGTTCATTTTGCACACACAAACATTAATTCAATAAAAAAATTCAGAAACATTAATTAAAACATATATGAACAGTAAATAATTGTTGCTTTCATATTCTTATGTAGAGTAATGACGATATGTTTTCACATGTGCTCACTTACATATGCGATCTCACTTTTTTCTTTTCCATTAATGGTTAGCTACTTATATTGTTCCATTTATTAACATTAAATAACATTACTTAAAACAACCATATTAATTTTTTTACATTAATTTTACTACAGCTACAACCAGGGTCTTATTTTCTTCAGTTTTATATGTAGAACCAGTCAGTCACTGGTTTTGTAAACAACGAAAACAATGCTGTCTCGTCTCCTCGTGTTTTAATATTTTACATATTATTAATGAATTGTATTGTTCATTTTGCATACATAAACATTAATTAAATCTAAAAGACATTCAGTAATAAACAATAATGAGTCTTTTGTACATAAGAGAAATGAGGCTGTTTAAACGATTACAGGTACTCCCCGACTTACGACGGGGTTAGGGACCGACATCCAGGTCGTAAGTCGGAAATGCTTGAATAACACATAGAAAATCGAAAATTTGGGTCTTTTTCTTTTCAGCACCACAAAACACTCACTTTTAAGCTTGCCAGCCATTTTAAAGTGAATTACAGATGAAAATTTTTTCTGTGTACTGACTTTGGGACTCAAAAATACATAATTTGACCACATTTTGGTACGACCGAGGCAGTTGTAAGTGCGGGTGGACTTAAGTCGAGTCGGTCGTAAGTCGGGGACTACCTGTATGCACGTCTGAACGTTGGCGGGCTGCTCAAACCCGTTGAAATTCGAGTTTCCGCCGTCAAAATTTTAAATCGTGTAGCGTTTTTTTTGTGTCCAAATAAAAAAAACGTTGAATTTAAAACTCGCAAAATTTTAGAACCTACTGTACAACATTTAACCCTTCAATATGTTTTCAAATAGACCATGAAGCAGTGAAAGTGGTGCTAGTGCTTCCAAGCATAAGCACAAATCACTATCTATCCTGGAAAAGGGCGAATTTCCATGGTCCGGAAATTTCCATGGTCCGGCACCGGTCAGGTCCCGAGGTTGCCGGATTAGAGAGGTGCAACCTGTTAAATAATCTCCACACAGCTATTGATACAATCTGCTCTAGGCCTTGGATGCGAAGCTCAGGTGAATTGTATAGACAGGTTTTACTAGATAATTATTTCTTGAAAGCAGCTTATTGTACTCTTGTCATTTAGGTACATTATAAAGACACAATAATTCTCTTGTGGCAGCATTATAAAACTTATATTTTAACCTAGACATGAATACAATTACAGTGACCCCTCGTTTAACGAAATTTCGGTTAACGAACTGCCTTCCATAAGAATCTTCAATTCGGTTAATGAACAAAAATTCGGTTAACGAAGTTCTTACGAACCGACCTCAACATGTTTTCGCTTGCACTGGCCGGGCAACCAGCTTTAGTATCAGTCCGCCAATACATTAATCGGTTCTAGGGCTTAAATTCCTTATTATTTTAGTAAATATCAAGAAGTTTATACTATTCAATAATTTTAAAAGTTTAATATTAACTTTTTTAGTCATTTTAACAATTATTGAACATAATTGAAGGTAAAGAAACTAGTTTCTGGCGTGCCATCCAGCCTGTTAACACACCAGACAGGCGTTAGTCTCTCTCTTTTCAGTGGAGGTAACATCTTGCTTGAGACTCTTCAACTAAACGCTTTTTTCTGTGTTTCCAAGCAAATTATTGGTCATTTTGAAATATATTTTACATATTGACAATATATAATGCAGTGCAGTGCTGATTTAAAGAAAATAATCTTGAAATACACCAAGAGAACTAAAATTTTATGGGTGAAATGGTGCCATGGGGTGACTTCTCTTCCACCCCAGTGCCTTCTCTTCTTCCTTCTCCTCCACCCCCATTCTAATTCCCATCATCATCATCATCCAGGAGCCTTCTACATACACACCTCAAAGTAAGTGAACTTTTCTACCACTTTTGTGGAATTTAGGAAATTTCGGTGAGCTGGAACCAATTACCCAAAAACCCATTGAAACAATGGTTTCGGTTAACGAACTTTTCGGTTAACGAACGACCTTCTGGAACGGATTGAGTTCGTTAACCGAGGGGTCACTGTATATCTAAAATTATTAATCACATTTGTAAGTTGAAAGAAAAGGTACACCACTCAGGTGACGTACAGTTTAATCATGTGTATTATTTGTGCATGACAACATGTATGCACAAAATATTTGTTGTTTCAAGGGTAAGAATTTTGTTTCTGAACTTACAATTTTGTATATAATTGTTTTGTCAGTTTAGGTTTTCTGTAGCTGTTAATGCAATCTGGGTATCATTAACACCCTGTATCAAATCAATGATGGATAAAGGCTTCCCTAAATATTTCCAGTGTCTTTTGTCTTGAGATTTTCCTGCCCATTCATCACCTCCAATTTGTAATTAAACCTGTCCATTATTTATTAGTTATTGATACAGTATAATTTTTTTCTTCACAGGAAGTGAGCCTCCACAAGGATGGACTTGTGAGAGACACCGTTCTTGAATGTTACGCTTGTGCCGTCAAGAATGTCTTTGTGCTTGGCTTTATTCCTGCCAAGGCAGAGTCTGTGGTAGTTCTTTTATGTCGGCAGCCATGTGCTGCACAAAGTTCTCTCAGAGACATGAACTGGTAAGACTTTACAGATTGGTGGTTGTTGAATTTTTAGTCACTTCAATTTTTTTCTGATACTTTGTTGCAGAATTTTTGTTTTTGTTGTAATAAAACATTTATGGCTGTGATTTATATTTTGAACTCCAGGGACCCAGAACAGTGGAAGCCCCTGATCAATGACCGTGCTCTACTGCCATGGCTTGTGCGTGTGCCTTCAGAAGCGGAGCAACTCCGTGCCCGCCAGATTACCGCCCAGCAGATTAACAAGCTGGAAGAACTGTGGAAGGAGAACGCTTCGGCGACATTTGATGACCTAGAGCGTCCTGGGGTGGACGAAGAGCCCCAGCAGGTTTGCCTAAGGTAAATTTTGGGTTCTTGTGATTGAAGCAGAGGATAGCTATAAATCATCTCGTAGGTCCAGTAGGTCTAAGCAATTAGGCACCCTGTAGAATGTGGAACTGAAGTTCTAAGTTTTATTGACTTACTTCATTGGAATTTACCAAACTAAAAACGATTTTGTGTAAAAATAAGGGAGAATCCAAATTATATGGAACTGGTGCTGCATATTATTAGTTAGTTGAGAAAAATGAACATAGGGATCACTTTGTGAGAGTGTTTTAGTTATAGTATGGTAGTAGCCCAGTAGTGGTAAAGTAAAAGCTTTATAATCTGGAATGGGAGGTGCTGGTTATTCAAAAAGGTTGGTTAACAGAGTTACTCTTATTATAAAATACAGGCTCAGTACTCAGCAATCAAATTGTAGTAGCAGTTTAATACTGAACTCTTGTTTCTTGAAACTTTTATGTATAGTACTGTACTGTACTGAAATAATGCAGTTTCATTTAACACTCATGCACCAAGACGTATCTGCGAGTCAATCATAATTTTATTCAATTGGAACCGACTTGTATTTGTGTCACTTAAGAGAAAATTGCATAATCCCGATTGATGTGAGATTTTTGTGCGTCATTTCTGTAGGCTTCTTCCCTCGTAATAATCCATCTCCAATTAGCTATATGACAACTGTCCATAGAGCGACACCACGAAGACATCAGTTTTTTCTCTGCAGGCAATCTAGAAGGTACTCTGCGCTAGGCATTTAAAATTTTTATCCCACTATCCATCTCAGACACACTCATGCCCTCCATTTTGTAGTAATATTGCCTGTTTATAAGTTTGTTTATGATATTTCACGTATTCAAGCTTGTAACCGTCATGTGTAAATTGCAAAATACTGCTCCTCTGTCCATATGATAACATGTCTCATTCATCTGGAAATGCAATTCGAAGTGTTGTGAAGTGTTTTTATTTGTACAGCATGCCCTTTAAATTCGCAAATAAAATTTGCTCACGGGGAGGGGGGGGGGAAATTTTTACTTGTTTATAAAGAAATGTATACTGTATTCCCTTTATACATGTGCCCTTAGGACAATTATTTCTGTTATCTGGTGCGTGTGTGCTCACGCACAAAACACATACAAATAAATGTTAATGGGAAATCCTCTCACAAATAATCAGAAACAAATGTATTAAAAATGTCGAGTCTAGCCTCAAGCCTACTCCGTGTTTTGTTATTAATAAAGCACGGAGTAGACTTGAGGGTAGACTCAACATTTTTAATACATTTGTTTCTGATTATTTGTGAGAGGATTTCCCATTACAGTGGCCCCTCGGTTAACGAACTCAATCCGTTCCAGAAGGTCGTTCGTTAACCGAAACCATTGTTTCAATGGGTTTTTGGGTAATTGGTTCCAGCTCACCGAAAATTTCCTAAATTCAACAAAAATGGTAGAAAAGTTCACTTACTTTGAGGTGCGTATGTAGAAGGCTCCTGGATGATGATGATGATGATGGGATTTAGAATGGGGGTGGAGGAGAAGGAAGAAGAGAAGGCATTGGGGTGGAAGAGAAGTCACCCCATGGTGCCATTTCACCCATAAAATTTTAGCTCTCTGGTTTAATTCAAGATTATTTTCTTTAAATCAACGCTGCACTGCATTATATATTGTCAATATATAAAATATATTTCAAAATGACCAATAATTTGCTTGGAAACACAGAAAAAAAGCGTTTAGTTGAAGAGAGTCTCAAGCAAGATGTTACCTCCAGTGAAAACAGAGAGAGACTGACGCCTGTTTGCTGTGTTAAGAGGCTGGATGCCGCGCATTAAACTAGTCACTTTACCTTCAATTTTGTTCAATAATTGTTAAAATGACTAAAAAATTGAATATTAAACTTTTAAAATTATTGAATAGTATAAACTTCTTGATATTTACAAAAATAGTAAGGAATTTAAGCCCTAGAACCGATTAATGTATTGGCGGACTGATACTAAAGCTGGTTGCCCTGTCAGTGCAAGCGAAAACATGTTGAGGTCGGTTCGTAAGAAGTTCGTTAAGCGAATTTTTTTTCGTTAACCGAATTGAAGATCCTTATGGAAGGCAGTTCGTTAATCGAAATTACGTTAACCGAGGTGTTCGTTAAACGAGGGGTCACTGTATTATTTATTTGTACTACAGGTGCTCCTCTACTTACGAACGAGTTACGTTCCTGAGGCTTGTTTGTAAGTCCAACTTTACTCTTGTAGATACCAAACATTGTAAAAATTGAAAAGATTATGGATATTTAGTACAGCTATACCCTTTAATACAGCCTTAAAACCTGGCTCACTCTTCTCTTAGGTAATGTTTGTTCTATCTCGAATTTTCTTCAAAATAATCCAGTCTCATTCACATTAAACACCTGCTCTGGCAGGTAGCCCCTCTCAGTGATGATGTTTGTATCTCTGAAAGTTTGTAAGTTGAACGTTCCTAAGTAGAGGAGCATCTGTATATGTGATTTGTGTGTCTACACACACACACACACACACACACATATATATATATATATATATATATATATATATATATATATAATACAGGTAAAGGAAATTACTGTCTCTAGAACGAATGGCTCCCTGTCCTGGCCGCGTAAATGCCAGCAACTTTAAAACTACCCTTAGACATTCTTGGGTACATCCAGGGTGTCATCTGTGAATAATCGAGGTCCGTGAATATTAAAGGAATGCTGTATTTATAAATGTTTTATTTGTTTAATTCAATTTAATTTCAATTGTTTATTCCTTGATAGAGGAAGCGGGATCCTAGTGCGGTCACTAGGTACCCCTGTACAGTGACACCAGAAGCATCTGGCAAGTGTGACAAGTATATACAGTATAACTATTATAAAGGGGCTTACTAAAGCCTAAGGAAGGAAGGATATTCCTTTAACACATAATCAATATTATTTACAAAATATCTGGCCAGTATGGGGAGCATCATCGTGTCTCCGTCAGGAGGTCGTGGAGTGGTGGTCCAGCAGGCGTCACGGAAGCGTTGTGTGTGGGGACATCTTAGGAGGTAGTGGATAAGGGTGCTGCTGTCAGGTCTTCTGCATAATGCACAAGAGCGTTGCTCAGGGGATGTGGGGATACCAATCTCCCAAGCAAAGTCATACCCAATGATGATACGGGCAGCAATCACGTCACCTTTCCGCGACCCTTTCCCGTAGACGTACGAGAGGTTTTGTTTAATGATATTTCACTTGTTCAAACTTGTAACTGCCACGTGTGTAAACTACGCAATAAATTCCTCTCTGTGGATACGTTGAACATCTCGACTAAAAATATGATGAAAATTGTTGTGAAACGAGTTTTGAGTATTTTTGTTTATTTTATGATATTTCAATTGTTCAAATGTATGGAGACTGCTTCAAATGCAATAATAGTAATAAAAAAATGTATACAAATAGCAGCACAAACTAAAAAGAGTGGAATTTTTGGTAAAATATTCTAGATATTTTTCTTAAATTTAACCAGCCCTAGTGTTACCCATATTGATTTCTTTTTATTTTACCCCATTTTTTGGTTATTTAACACTTATGGCCCTTACTTGATTGTCTGTTGGCTAAAATACTAGTTGATTGTATTGAAAACTGTAATGCATGACTTCACATCCTCAATTTATTTTTTTTCACTTAGTTTCATGTTAAAGCAACCAATTTTACGTAGAATGTAGTTGGTTTCATTCTAAAAAAAATTAACTGGTTGCTGAAAAATCAATCAACAAAAAAGATACAGCACAGTTCTTCTGTGCCAAAAGGTCACAATTAGCCCCCTGCGTAGAAGGGGGTGATGTTACAAATATGGCGGCATGTGAGTGTTAATATAATGTGGGTGTCACATAATGTACATTACCACTCAACTTAAAACTTAATATGTTCAGTGCTGTACATATAAGTTGTGACCTGTGGTGTAATGGTCAGCATGCTCGCCTTGCAAGTGAGCGGACCCGGGTTCAATCCCCGCGCAGTGTGAAACTATGGGTAAGATTCTTTATGCCATTTGCCTCTGTCTACCCAGCAGTAATTGGGAACCTGGATGTTAATCGATTTGCGGATCTTGTTCCGGGGTAATGGTTAGCCAGTGCAGCTGGCGAGTTGTCAGATCATCTAGGACTATTCCTTGACGCTGGGTCATGCAAATCGTTAACTTAGGGTATGGTTGTTGTGTTGGCGTCAGGTTCTATACCTTAAACAAATTCACGCCTAGGTGGCTCTTGAGCCGGCCATCCTCGTTACATGAGGGGCAACCATTATTATTTTACATATAAGTAACTGATTAAACATTTATACTGGTGAATATAAAGAAATTTGGGTTACTTAACCATTTGTCTACAGGGTCCCCTCTGTGCTAAATATAATTGTTTGGCCAAATGTAATATTAAGAGTGGCATCCCATAAGTGAGGTGGTTAAGTGTACCAAATTGTAATGTACTGGTTTGTTGAGTGGATAGATGGCTTGCATCCTGCACTAAGGGTAACTTGTTATGTATTGGGCTTGTCAGTTTACTTAATTGGGAAGTGAAAGTGGTTAATGCATCATATACAATATACCTGTACTTCATTTGCACTGCCCCTAATGGGGCATTGGGCCAATTGGAACCCACACTTTTTCCATCCAGTTATAAGTAGAGTTTCATTTTATTTTATTTCTCCTGACAGATACGAGGATGGTTTTCAGTATCAGAATATATTTGGGCCTTTAGTGAAGTTAGAAGCAGACTATGATAAGAAGTTGAAGGAATCGCAGACCCAAGACAAGATTGAGGTGCGATGGGATATTGGCCTGAACAAGAAGATCTGTGCCTATTTCACCCTTGCCAAGACTGATGGAGGTAGGATTTATTTTACCCTTTCAGTACAAAGCCAACCACCTAAGTACAGTGAATTAGTCAGCTGATTAAAATATCTTCACCTCTTGAGTGCATTGATTTAATTCCATGTGTACAATATCTTAGCTCTGTAAATGATGAACTCTTTCCTTGAGTATAATGGGGGATTTCACAGTGATAAAAGTCATCACACTCAAGGGCTTGGGGAACTAGACAAGTATCAGATGTGTTTGGCGGGTTGAGGTGTTGATTGTATGTAGAAGTCCGCGTGATTTATATTTATATATATATATAAATATATATATATATATATATATATATATATATATATATATATATATATATATATATATATATATATATATATATATATATATATATATATATATATATATATATATATATATATATATATATATATATATATATATATATATATATATATATATATATGCAAGTAAATCACTGTCGATGCGCGTGATCTAGGTATATGCTGATAACCACAAGGAAAGAAGAAAACACGAAGTTCCCAAGCGCTTTCGTGTATAGATATATATACGGTATATATTTTTTCATTTTTTTTACTGAGTTGTATTTAGTTGGATTAATTTAAATCTACTTGTAAAAACAGAAAAAGACTTTTCTTGGGAAAATTATTGGTCAAGAGGAATTCTGTGGTTCTTAACTTTTACTGAACAAGTTTCCTGTTCATTTCATGTAATTGAAAATAATTATACAGTAAGTGATTCTTTACTGAATTTCTGATTCAGTTGTTTGATGAAAAAAAATCAGTAGAAGGCAAAGATCTTTTTAATGGAGGCATTTCTGATGTATTGATGTGAATGAAATTTAGATAATTCATATTGTGAGGGAGTTTATACCTCTTAAGTTTGCCCCCCTCCAACCCCACCCCCCTCCCTCCAACCCCCCAAAAATGGTGTTGGAGATAGAATGATGGTGCTGACACTGGCATACCATATACAGGATGCACATTCCCCAACCCCCCCTCTAACCCCCCCTCCAACCCCGCCCCTGCAGTTAAAAATAGGAAGAGGCTGAATATAGTAGCAGGAACATTTCACAAGCACACTTTTTCATATCCTCAAGTTGCATGCAGTATAAAGTATACAAAGTTAACCCTCAATCTTATTGCAGATTGAGAATTAACTTTGTATACTTCTGTTTGCAGGTTGAGAATATGAGGAAGCGTGTGTGTGTGTGTGGTGGTAACCTCAGGATGTTGTTAATTATAAATTTTTAATGATTTTTTCTTTGCTCTCTAGATATGAGGTTGATGCATGGTGACGAATTGCGCCTCAGGTATTTGGGTGACCTTCATAAGCCCTGGTCTGGGGTTGGGCATGTCATTAAGATCCCTGACAACTTTGGAGAGGAAGTGGGGATTGAATTGAAGTCCAATGTGGGTGTGCCCACTGACTGTAGGGACAAGTTTGTGGTGGACTTTGTGTGGAAATCGACAAGCTTTGATAGGTCAGTTGCCATTTTTTTTTTTTTTTAATTGGGCGGGAGGGAGGTAGTGAAAGTTTGGCTTCTTTTACATTTTTGTTTGTGTTTTGAGTGAAACCAACTTTACCTCAATCTGTATTGTAACCTTAACCAATCCAAGTGAATTAAACCAAAGGAAGTAAAATAATTTTAAACCCAATCTAACCTTACCAAATCAATTTCAGCCACATTTATGATTCTCAACCCAAACTAACCGAAACAAAATAAGAGTTTACTGAAACATATTACACATTGCCTAAAGGCTATTGTAATACAGTATATGACTTCAGCAACTAGACATGTTTTACATTCAGTGGATTCTCTTTAGAGAAAAACATACAGTGGGGTATGCTATAACGAATCTAATTGGTTCTAGAACCTTGTTCGTTATAGCATTCGTTCGTTATAGGATTAATCCGTTCCAGGCCCCCAAATACAACCACCTAACACTGAAAAATATAATATAAAATTGTAAAAATTGTAAAAAATTGCATAAATATGCATCTAAACCCCTGAAATAAAGAATATCATTAATACTTGTAATAAAGAAACAATAAATTAGTAAAAAAAAAACAAAAATTTTTTTTTAAATAATGTTCGTTGTAGGAGTTTCGTTCGTAATAGCATTCTCAATTTTATAGGTAAAACCGTTCATTATAGGAATATTCGTAGTAGGATCCGTTCGTTATAGCATACCCCACTGTAGTTACCTTTACTGAGGCTCTTGCAATCCTTTTAGTTCTTTGGACCAAGTGTAAAATTTAACCTTAGATTTCTTTGATGTAATTAATTTTTTCTCGGTCATAATGCATAAATTTTTAGAAACCTTGTTTCATAAATGTCAATTTTTTTTTAGCAGTCAGTGCTCAGTAGTACACGAATTGGATTAATTCCTTGTTTAGTTTACTTGTGATATCTTTCTCCTCTCTGAATTGTTGCCATGAGAGAAGAGCCTCCAGGTTGCCCTATCAGAACATACCTCTTTTATCTTCTATACTTCCCTTATTAGTCCAGTCCAGATGCAATTTAACCCAAAACAAATTAGTGCTTGGGAAAATAATCTACAATCACCTATTCAATGAACAATAAAATTATGGCTAAAATTTCATTTTAAATACAAGTTTGGCAAAAATTTGTATATTATCACACTTTTGTCACTAGTGTAATATTTCATAAGTTTTTCAGCTACCTTACCGGTATTCTTGATTTCATTTTATTATTTGTTTAATGGAAGCTTTATACTTTATATATATATATATATATATATATATATATATATATATATATATATATATATATATATATATATATATATATATATATATATATATATATATATATATATATATATATATATATATATATATATATATATATATATATATATATATATATATATATATATATATATATATATATATATATATATATATATATATATATATATAGTTGTACCCCACTTAACGCGGTCAATTGAACCCAGAGGGTCCCGCGTTAAGTGAAAACCGCGTTAAGTGAATAACAGAACATATGGGATTAATTCCAATAGAACCCAGCCCGACCCCCAAACTCCACTTTTTGACGACAAATAACTATGTTGTAGTAAAAATAACATCTTAATTTTATGATGGTACATGCACACAATTAATACTTAAGAGAAATAGAGAAATACAGTCGCCAAGTTAATGTCCATTCAAATAATGGAACTCCACTCCCCTCTCACACTACACACTCGCTGGCTCTTCCCCCTCTCAGAGAAATTTGGGAAAACCACTAAATTTTAATAAATAATACCAAACAAAAGTTAGGATAATATAATTGACATTGCTGGATTCCTTGTAAGACCAGGAATATTTTGAATATAAATGTCATATATTTTCACAAAAGATAACATAATTACCTAGAGAACAATTTTTATCTAAAAATTGTATGTTTAATGCAAAATATATGTTGTTTATATTCAAAATGATCACCAAATTATAAGAATTCCAGCAATGTAAATTATATTCTGGCCGGATAATTTGTATGAATTTTATGAGCTAAAACAAATATCTACAGTTAATAAAAAAAAAAAATATTCTTCAACACTATCTGTCAATCAAAGTACCCCACCTTGCCTCCCCCCCTCTTCCAACCGCGTGGTCAGTCCCAACCCTCCCCCCACCCCCCACCAATCCTCCATTCAAGAGTTTTTAACATTTAGTATTAAATAATACCTCAGATTAAAGTTAGGATAATATAATTGACATTGCTGGATTCCTTGTAAGACCAGGAATATTTTGAATATAAATGTCATATATTTTGGACAAAAGATAACATAATTACCTAGAGAACAATTTTTATCTAAAAATTGTATGTTTAATGCAAAATATATGTTGTTTATATTCAAAATGATCACCAAATTATAAGAATTCCAGCAATGTAAATTATATTCTGACCGGGTAATTTGTATGAATTTTATGAGCTAAAACAAATATCTTCAGTTAAAAAAAAAAATAATTCTTCACCAGGTAACAGATGGTCGGTCGGTCGGTCCCTCCCTCTCCCTCCCCCCCCACCAACCGTCCCAAGGAGATGTGTGGGATAACCACTAAATTTTAATAAATAATACCTCAAACTAAAGTTAGGATAATATAATTGACATTGCTGGATTCCTTGTAAGACCAGGAATATTTTGAATATAAATGTCATATATTTTGGACAAAAGATAACATAATTACCTAGAGAACATTTTTATCTAAAAATTGTATGTTTAATGCAAAATATATGTTGTTTATATTCAAAATGATCACCAAATTATAAGAATTCCAGCAATGTAAATTATATTCTGGCTGGGTAATTTGTATGAATTTTATGAGCTAAAACAGGCAGTCAGGCAGGGTGGCGGGTGGGGGGTGGTGCGAATCTAAAAATAGCTCTCGAGCCGGACACTCACCGCGTATATGTGAAAAATCCGCGTTAAGTGAAAGTTCAGCTTTGGCAAGGCACCGCGTATATGCGAAAACGCGTTAAGTGAAAGCGCGTTAAGCGGGGTAATGTATGTATATATATATATATATATATATATATATATATATATATATATATATATATATATATATATATATATATATATATATATATATATATATATATATATATATATATATATATATATATATATATATATATATATATATATATATATATATATATATATATATATATATATATATATATATATATATATATATATATATATATATTTTTTTTTATGTAGTATGTACTGTTACTATCATATAAACAAATGTCTTTGAGTTTGATATTGTAAAGTATGATCTAGATCAGTGGCTCCCAAACATGGGGTCGCGGGGTTGCAAGAGCATTATAAGGGGTCGCATAGAGGTCGTGGGGTCGATGAAGTCTCATAGACTTTAGGGTCATAGGGCTCCCATGGACCTCATCGGGTCTTAATTCACTGTTCTTCAAAGACCTCTGGCAGTAGCCAATGTTTTTTTTTTCTAATGTTAATCTTGATGCTTTGATCATGTGAAGTGCTGGTCTCATAAAGAAATTCTGCTGTTAATAGTTACTAAAAAAAATCACCTGATTTTCATTATACTGAAATGTGATGCATAATTATTATCGCTTACTCAGTAAAGTTCTCAGGGTTTTCAAAAATGAGTTCTGCTAGCTTCTGTGTTTTTGTGTCTATTTGTCTATCCTGTTTTTTATGAGTCATTTGAAGTGGAATTAAAAAACTTGTGACTAACATAATAAAAGGTTATATGCGGTACAAATGAACCTAAGCAGTAAAGAAGTGCCTTTTGGTTTCAGAGATATTTCCTTTGTCATGTCTGTTGAGGTGGGTTTATGGATGACAGCATTGTCTTGTATACATTGTAATAGTTTCAGCTCTTTTAATCAGGATGCAGGCGGCTTTACGCAAGTTTGCTGTAGACGACTCCTCAGTTTCTCCCTACATCTATCACCGTCTCCTGGGGCACGTTGAGGTGGACGAGCTCATATTCCGTCACATTCATCTCCCAAAACAACTGTCGGCTCCGAACCTTCCCACCTTGAACAATTCTCAGGTATTTACTGTTGCTATTAGAAATTCAGAAGGAGCTCAGTAACCTGCATGGATTTTTATTTCTTTGCCTCGGAATGTTACAAGCTTTGGCCGATGGTATGGGGGGGGGGGGGAATGTCCAGTATCACTGCATTTTACAAGAGAAAAGAGCTCCATTGGAAGCATATGTACAGCTTTGCGAGTCCTTCATTATTCTATTGCAAATATTTATTTTTCAAAAACTATATCATTTGTGCTGTGATGTGTTGCTGTCAAGAATTTAATAGGTAAATATCATGGATAAAGGAAATTATGATTGTAATTCAATAAAATATTTGAGTTAAGATACAGATTTATGTTACATAATTTCCTGTGCAACAATGCATGTTCATCTGTAGTGTCTAATGCAGGATATGATGCATACAGTACCAAATTACATTGAGAAGTTATCATAACATCAGGTAATTGGTTTTAATAGTTAAGAAAGTAGTACTGTCCCTGTCTAGATATTTTTTCTCTAGCTGTGAATGAAAAGTGATATTTGTTACAAATTTATGACTTTCGTCACAGTGGCCTGGCACATCCTATTCTCCGACCTCTGTCATTGAACCAAATTTAAATTTCCAGCAATATGCCTTGAAGCATGCCCTTCAGCGTCCTCTGTCATTGATCCAAGGCCCTCCTGGCACGGGCAAGACAGTGACCTCAGCCACCATTGTGTACCAGCTGGTGAAGCAGACTGGTGGCTCTGTCCTAGTGTGTGCCCCTTCCAACACAGCTGTAGATCAGCTTACAGAGAAGATCCACAAGACTGGTCTCAAGGTGAGGATTTTAAGTTACATTTAAAATTTACAAGGGCTGTAGGTTGATATTGTTGCCCTCACTCCATGTGGATATGAGGCCAGTGGACCTTATACACTGTACAGTAAGTCCTTGCTTAACGTAGTCCCGCTTAGCTTACTGTACAGTAAGTCCTTGATATATGTGAGTTCAGCATACGTGAATTCATTCATATGGAAAGACCCAATTCGTACTAGGAATTCAATTAATGCAAGCAAAATTCAGCCTAATGTGAGATGTCGTGCCCCCTGAAATGGATTCCAACCCTGATGACTGCAGATATCATTCCAACACCATCACCCACTATGTAAAACCTCTACCACCATCTCCATCATCTCGTCTACCCAAGTTGATGTACTGTAACTGCTTTTATTAAGCACACTGTACTGTACATTTGCTTTATCTATTACTGTATTTTAAAAATATTGTATTGATTTGTTTTATGGTTTATTTATCTTAAAAATGGGTCTGAACATTTTCATTTTGGGTTATGGAATGCATTCTATTTTGTCCCATTTAGCTAAATATTCGATACAGTATGTGATTTCGATTTATTCGAGGGTTTTCAGGAACACATCCCTCTTATACATCAATGACTTACTGTACAGTGCCAGATTTAGGGTTATCGGACATAATGGCTCAAACATTGGGCAAGGATGGAAAAACAGGTGGAAGAAGCATTTGTGATAGACCATAGATGAGCACTTCACGACTGACCCACGTGAACTGACCCTGACCTACTGACTGACATATCCGACACATGTATACTTGTTTACACTGAAGCAGTCCCTGGGTAACATACGAGTTCTGTTCCTACAGACATTCTTAAGTCAAAATACATACCCTATGTGCATACTGTACTTACAGAACAATTTTTAAAATCCCACTATCATAGCCTAAATCCTTATACCGTATTCATAAAAAATCATTTACTTAAAGAAAAACGATGAAATAGTGTCAAAATACAGTAAATGAAAGTAAAAAATAATTCGGGTAAAGGTAGGAGGCAGCTATCAAACAGGGAAGTACTACTGCCTGGGAAGATATTGGAAGCATAATGTGTTGTCTAATGTGCCTGGGTGGGCTAATCCCTGTAAAAAAAAAGTTCCCTATTTTTCGGCTTGAAAGACGCACTTTTTATGACAAGTACTATTCTCTATATAGTACTATAAAACTATTGATTTAACTAATATTGTTGATATATTGCCAAAAAAATAAAAATAAACCCTTGCTGCTGTGTGGTTTGTTTACTAATGGCAGTGGTGCGGCAGCGCCATCTATTGAGGAATTGCTAAAGGTTGTCTGCTGGTCTCAAAGCGCAGGAATGTTTGTTTCTTTATACGTAGGCTCTCATATTTGGACACCCATTTAGACTATAAAAACCTCTCAAAATTATAATCTTCCAAATTTAAATACAACCTCCTTTGGAGAAAATTATTTTGAGTCTGGTACTTTCCATGTTTGGCAAAATTTTGCCTTATTCACCCTACTTTTGGGGCGAATTACTACCTGTAATAAAGCAACATCCTAATAAACCAACGAAAATAACACAGATAAAGTTAAATAAAAACTAAAAACATCACAGAAAAAGTTTTTGTTCTACGTCTTCAGCTAGAGTTGAACCTGATGACTTGGCAACTTCGTCATCCAAGTTAAAACACACACAACAACATTGGCTGTCCTTATGTTTTGAACTTTACCACCACTGGTGGGTAGAATTTTTTTTTTTAAATTCAGAAACATTAATTAAAATATATATGAACAGTAAATAAGTGTTGCTTTCATATTCTTATGTAGAGTGATGACGATATGTTTTTACCTGTGCTCACTTAAATACGCGATCTCACTTTTTCTTTACCATTAATGGTTAGCTACTTCCATTGTTCCATTTATTAACATTAAATAACATTACTTAAAACAACCATATTAATTTTTTACATTAATTTTATTACAGCTACAACCGGGGTCTTATTTTCTTCAGTTTTATATGTAGAACTATAATCAGTCACTGGTTTAGTAAACACCCCCTCCCCCCTTTCTCTCCTACAATCCACACGTAAAGAAGTGTTTCTTCTCTTTATGGTGTTATAATAATTTATTATTTTTATTTTCTGCACATTCTGTATGAAAGATTGTGTGTGGATGTAACGGTAAAAAAGAAATGAAGAAAATTGCGTATGTCTACCTGAAATTACTTGTAGTGACAGCTGGGGGATCGCAACTTACTCCTGTGCATGTACATATTATATAAGGTAAATAAAAGTAAACTTTTATTTGGTGTAAATTTATTGTTTTTGTTTTTATATGGCATAATTTTATTGATGTGTATAAATTATTTGAGTTATTAAGACATTATTTAATCATCATAGCAGCAGGGTTCTTCATGGTCCCAGGAATGGAAGCTATTTTTCCCCATTTTATTAATATCAATATACTGTACGATCGATCACTTAATTATCGATGTCTCTTTGAGGTTTAAGCCCATTGTATAATGGTCAACACTGGTTCAAGGGGTCCCCCGGTTACGAACGGGTTCCATTCCTGAGGTAGTTCTCATGTCGAAAATGTACAAAATTCGAACCACATACCCTATGTGCAGACCGTACTTACAGAATAATGTTTAAAATCCCACTATATCATAGCCTAAGTCCTTATATTCACATAAAGTCACTTAATTTTATGTGAAAAGAAGAAATAGAATGACAAAATACAGTAAATGAAAATAAAAAATAAATTGGGCAAATAAAATGCTGTAAATTTAAAGTTTAACCTCGTTCGTATTGGCGGCATTTGTAAGTCGGGGACCCCCTTGTATTTGACAACAACTATTAGTCACTCCCAGAGCTCTTTAGTGAAAGTAATATTGAAAGATTATCTTTGTTGCAAATATACTATACTGTACTTTCTAGAGTAGCAAAATTATCATGAGTAAAATTTTTCTGAAGGTTGGTTGAGCATTCATTTTGTGAAATGTACTGTATTTACATTACACATTTGATGGTATGGGAGTAATCTTGAACTGAGAATGATAATTAGATGAATAGAAAAATGTACTTGAAGTAAAGGTGATCTTATTTGAGAAAGAGTAAGGTATACTTGATTAAGGATTCAGAGAGAGAGGAAACATACATCAGTTTACTATGGATGTTATTTGTCTTCTACAGATAATGTATGTGTATTTTGGTGATGTTTTATTTGTGTTCTTCCAGGTTGTCCGGTTGTGTGCCAAGTCTCGCGAGGCCATTGATTCTCCTGTCTCTTTCTTGGCCTTGCATAATCAAATTCGCAGTCTTGAGGAGTGAGTATAATGTCTTACAGAAGAAAGAGGGATAGTTAAGTAAGCACTTTTTGTGCTTTGTGGCATGATGGAGAACATGAGGGCTTTCTTGTATCATGTCATTCTCAGGGCAGTATAAAAATAGGTTACCATAGCAAAAATGGGATATGTTCCTACCCACAACCAGAGTTCTTCTTGATGGTGATTCTGTACTGTATTTTTTCATACTTACACTAACAGCAATTTAATAACTAATTACTAATTTTTTGAGGAACATGAAACTGAACACATTTTACTCACCATTGCACTCTGTTGTTTTTTGCATGAGGGGAAACTGGCATTGGGTGAGTGTAGAGGACTACAAGGTTGTACGAGGAGAGTGTTGCAAGGCCCTCTTTAGGTATGAGCAGAGTCATATGGAGTGGGGAAGAGGACTGCTCAGGTGGGCTAATAGGGGTACTGCTGCAGCAAACTGAAGTGAGGGAGGGGTATTGAAAGTGTTGTCCACTGGTAATTAGGGAAGAGGCCTTGTGAAACTGTGTTTAGGTTATAATTTGCTGCTGTCTGTTTCTCTATAAAGCTCCCTGTGGGCAGAAACACAAGTTGTCATCATCCTTCCAATCTGGTTGGGACATAACATTCCCTTCCTGGATAACTTGGCCAGTGAAGGCAATGTAGTGAATTGGCCTTTATGGTAATTATTTCTCCTCTGCTTTGTCAGCTTTACCATATAAAGAATTCATTCCTTAATCCTGATGTGGATATGAGTTTCAAGATGGTTTGTTGGGTTAGCATAGGTTAAGTTAGGCTTGGTAAGGAGCACTGGTACTAAAACATCCCAAGTATACTTAGAGCTATTACATGCAGATATATACACACTTCATTCTTTTCAATGAAAAAGTTTTCAACTTTAAAATTAAAGTAGATGTGAAATGCATTTGTCTAAATATTTAGACTAACTTTTATGATGGGTTAGATTCTCAGATTGAGTCTAAAATTTTTTGGAAGTTATAGGATACAATTGCACTGGATAATTCATTATTATCACACGAGTATTAATTTGTTATCTTGTGCAATTTGTATTTTTGTTACATTTCAATCACCTAATGTGATATGCTAGAAAATTTTCATGGGTATTTCTTGGAACACTAGAAGGGCAAGGACTTTTGTATATGTCCATTAAAATATTAAGTAGGTTCTTTTTGCTAGGCATAGTGCCAGGGCTAATTCTTTACCACTATTGTTAAAGTCATATCATGCCGGAAGGATGATTTTTTCAACTTGTTGCAGCAATGGTGAGCTTCAGAAGCTACAACAGCTCAAGGAAGAGACAGGGGAACTGTCATCAGCAGATGAGAAGCGTTACCGCATGTTGAAGAAACAAGCAGAAAAAGTATGTTAATTTTGTGTCGCAGGATACACTGTTGTTGATTTATACCCTTTGATGTAAAAAATGCATTAGACTTGCCTGTACATAGAGGTTGGATTTGGACTTCCAAGGGGTAATTACTTTTCACAAATAAGAGATGCCATGAAATGGTAAACAAGAAACACACATAAATAGTGTGTAATATGAGTGGATAATGTACTCTAGGTACTGTAGTCTGTTTTGGGAAGCCAGTAATTAATATATTCATAGATAGTGCTAGGATGGCTGGACACTTGGTAATTGATATGTTAAAGTTTGCAGTATCTCAGGTGTGACTGTGTATCATGTACAGCAATATTCATGCAATTGTTTTATTTACTGGCACTTACTGTTTTGCAGACTCTTCTAGAAGCTGCTGATGTCATTTGCTGCACTTGTGTTGGTGCCGGGGATCCCAGACTTGCCCGCCTTAAATTCCACTCCATCCTTATCGACGAGTCTATGCAGGCCACAGAACCTGAGTGTATGGTGCCTGTAAGTGTGTTAATGAACTTTTAAATGTTTTCTGTGAACTTGATAACAGAAATTAAAATGGAGTTAGCCAAACTTAGCATTGTATATAGATATATCACAATATGATGTTGGACATGTTTGATAATCAGCCATTTATATGTTGCTTATCAAGAGTTATCACTCCTTGGACTTGGTTACATTAAGGAACTTTCCTACCATTAGTGGCAGACCCTGTTTCTATGTTTTTACATTTTATTGTCAGTGTTATTCATATACATCAGTTCATCTTTGGATATACCTGTGTAGTTTTTAAAAAATATTTTGAAAGGCATATTACTTGGGGTATAATGGGTGGCATTTTTCACTTGCTTAGAGTGGGGCCCCTTTACAGGATACCTGTAATTTATAATTTTTTTTAACTCGGCATGGCAGTAAAATATTCAACTGTAAATTATTTTTTTTACATAACTTGCAATATTCTGAGTTATGATGAGGCAATCTCTGAATGGTGCAAAACGTGGTACCTATGCATGATGAGTGGGAGGCTCTGCTGCTCAGTTAAGTGTTGGTCAGCCGAGTGTGAGGATACCCACCTCCAGTGGCTCTACTTATTTTCTTTATTTTCACTATTTGTGCAAAGTGCTATTCAACCCTCATACTGTAGATATGTCTTCTGCACTATTACTAAGGCATAGTAGGAGGGAAATGAAGTTGAAATCCCTGAGTATTGGGGCAGGAGGCAAGAATTTATTATGAAAACTGAAAACCAAAGAGAAGAAAGTTGGGAAAACTGGAAGGAAATTGGCTCGATAACTCAGAAAATCTGATGACTCTGAATGGTTAGAGCCCCATATATTCTGAGTTATCGAGCGTTTACTGTATTACAACTGTATTGTTGGATTGTTATACAGTAATACAGAGATACACAAGACTAATTGGGGGTAAACCCTACTCCAGAAAAAGTGAATCTATGAGGGGGAGGGGGTTCTGGATGTAACCCTGCTTATCTGGACTATTTCAAGAGAATCAGACTTAAGTCTAGTTGTCCACAATTGTTTTCACTGATGTGACTGTTATGTACTGTAAAGTGTTACATGTTACTGGCGTGGTAACCACAGAATTTGCAGAGAAGTCATTTCAATGTGTTCATGTGCCTTATGAATAAAGAAAAAACTGGGAGATAAGGGTATATCTGGGAGCAGCAGGCGGGTGGCTCCCTCCCTACCTTTTGTCCTTGCCAGGCAGACGGAATTTTAATGGTGTGGTCACTCGATTAGTGTACTGTACCATCCTCATATATGAGGGTTAGCAACCACAGTCCTCCACTCTAAGCAACTCCTTTAACATGTCTGTATGCAATTCTACCATAATTCCAATATTATTTAGGTTCATTTGGTGCGGGGTTGAAATGACACTACATTTTCATAAAATAATACATTTTCCCCCAAAAAATCCTACACTCAACCTCAGGTGAGTCACTGCAGCATATTAAATTGCTTGTTTACAAAGTGTGAGTAAACTGATCGCTCTGTCTCCCACACCTTGTTAACAGCACACTTCATCTCTCATGCTTACCACTATTTCTGTGTTCATTACGTAGTAAATAATATTGCAGTGTATTTATCAACACCTAATAAATAATAATTTAGTGTCTTATGCATCTGCATATTCATTGATTAATTAATTAATTAATTAATTAATTAATTAATTGTCTTAAGTGCACAAGTAGCCAAATTGAGCGATCATGTATCATTTAGAGGTGATAAATAACATTAGGAAACTACTTCTATATGAAATATTTTATTTTACTGTCTGAAAAAAGCAAATTCCACTGTGCAGGGGGCCCCCAAACTTTGCGAATTTTTAATTCACGGTCCTCCATTATATGCGGATGACACTCTGGATGTACCCAAGAATGTCTGGTGGTAGTTGAAAGTTGCCGCTATTTTTGCGGCTGGGACAGGGAACCATTCGTTCTAGACAGTAATTTCATTTACCTGTATTGTAAATGTGTGTGTGTAGACACACACATATACAATCCAGTACATATATACAATACAAATTTTAATTAAATTTGTTTCTGATTATTTGTGAGAGTATTTTTCCATTATCTATTTGTATGTGTTTTATGTGTGTCTACATACACACACACATATACAATACAGTAAGTCCTCGTATAACGTTGGCTCGCTTAACTTTGTTTTGGTACTATGTCTCTAATCATTAGATATCAAATATTCGTTTAACATCCCGATGACTCGGTATAACGTCGTTTTGCGTTGCCACGGACTACTTTTTACGGCGCATCACCCTCTCTCGTCTGGCCGCGCTACGCTGTCTCAGCAGCCGCAGATTGACCACCCTCCTCCTCTCCTGCCCTCCTCTCCCGCCATACTCCTCCCCTCCCGCCATACTCCTCCCCTCCCGCCATCCCCCTCCTCCACTTCACTACCCACCATACACTCACTCTACCACCACCGCCCATCGGTGAGTACCGATATAAACTTAGTAGTTGTATATGTATGCACTATTTTCTATAGAAATGGCAATGATTTTCTGTACAGTGAACCCTCGCTTTACGCGGTTTCACTTTACGCGGTACCCTGCCAGAACCGGAATTCCCACTTTACGCGGTGCATCTACTCATATACGCGGGTGAAGTATAATTTTTTTATTTAGCTCATAAAATTCATACAAATTATCTGGCCAGAATATTATTTACATTGCTGGAATTCTTACAATTTGATGATCATTTTGAATATAAGCATCATAGATTTTGCATTAGACATACAAATTTTAGATCTAATGCAAGTATTTTGTTTACTCAGAGCAAATATGTTATCTTTTGTGCAAAATATATGACGTGTATATTCAAAATATTCCTGGTCTTGCAAGGAATCCAGCAATGTCAATTGTATTATCCTAACTTTAGTCTGAGGTATTATTTATCACTAAAAATGTAAATATACTGTTATAACCCAATCATTTCTCTGGTAGGGAGGGAAGGTGGGGGTGAGGGGTAGGGAGGGAGGGACCCAGGGAGCAGGTGGGAAGAGGGGGGGAGGTGGGGTATTTTGATTGACAGATAGTATTTCGGTAAGTATATTTTGTTTATTTATTGAAGATATTTGTTTTAGCTCATAAAATTCATACAAATTACCTGGCCAGAATATAATTTACATTGCTGGAATTCTTACAATTTGATGATCATTTTAAATATAAACATCATAGATTTTGCATTAGACATACAAATTTTAGATCTACTTTAAGTATTTTGTTTACTCTGAGTAAATATGTTATCTTTTGTGCAAAATATATGACATTTATATTCAAAATATTCCTGGTCTTACAAGGAATCCAGCAATGTCAATTATATTATCCTAACTTTAGTTTGAGGTATTATATATTACTATACCTTAAAATCTAGTGGTTTCCCCCAAACATTTCTCAGAGAGGTAAGAGCCAGCGAGTGTGAGAAGAGGGGGAGGGAGTCGAGTCCATTATTTGAATGGACATTAACTTGGCGACTGTATTTCTCTTTCTCTTAAGTATTAATTGTGTGCATGTACCATCATAAAATTAAGATGTTATTTTTACTAGAACATAGGTATTGTGTCGGAAAAAGTGGAGTTTGGGGGTCAGCCGGTCTCTGTTTCATTTAATCCCATATGTTATGTTGTTCACTTTACGCGTTTCTCGCTTTACGCGGGCCTCCGTGGGTTCAATTGACCGCGTAAAGTGAGGGTTCACTGTATATGTAATGTATTTCATGGGGCAAAGGGAGGCTCAGGAACGTAACTCCCGTATTTTATCTATTTCTTATGGGGAAAATTGATCCGCTTAACGTTGTTTCTTATAACGTCGCAATTTTAGGAATATAACCCCGACGTTAAGCGAGGACTTACTGTACAGGTAAAAGAAATAATTGTCCTTAGGGCAAACACACAAAGGGAATATACATTTTGGTTGTACACAAGTAAAAATGACCCCCACCCCCTCCCGGGTCAGCAAATGCTATTCGCGGAGGTGGCGATTCGTGGCCATTTTGGGAACCTAACCCTGTATAGAGGTTCTACTGTATGCTGTTTTATGCTTATTTGTTTGTATGAATCTGCCCGTTTCCTTACTAATATTCTTATCTTTGTGTGTATTTACCACATAAAATTAGGTTTCAAAAACTTTGGATTCTGAGTGCACTTTTATTTTCCAATGAGACTAAATATATGGAATATTGTGGGTGTTTTTTTTATCAATTGAGTTGTTGTGATGATTTGTAAATGGTCTTTTGTATTACAACATGAAAAGTGATAGTAGTTTAATATGTCATGTCCCTTAGGTTGTTCTCGGCGCCAAACAAGTTATCCTGGTGGGTGACCATTGCCAGTTGGGACCAGTGGTCATGTGCAAGAAGGCTTCAAGGGCGGGCCTTTCCCAGTCCCTCTTTGAACGGCTGGTTGTCTTGGGCATCCGACCTTTCCGCCTTACCGTCCAGTACCGCATGCACCCACAGCTGGCCCAGTTTCCCTCCAACTTTTTCTATGAAGGGTCTCTTCAGAATGGTGTTGCTGATGGTAAGGCTTGCACACACACACACACCTACCTACCTCTATTAGGGATTTAAAGTACAGTTTTTATATAGTGTTATTTTTGTGTTTCCAATTGTCCATCACCAGTACAATATTTATGTCTCGTAAATAACTTGTTAAACTGCGGAAGAATTCAAATTAAAGTTTGCCCAAATATATTTCAATATTTTGATAACATGTTATATGCTAAATGTGCCAAAGGTCACTGACAAGGTTCATAAGATCAACCAATTCTCCTTTTATAGAGTATAAGTCTCGTTGACCCTTTTCAGGTCTATGGACTATTGTACTTTGACATTTGGTTAAATTAAATTTTGTTAAGTATTTAAGGTCAACCTTACCATTCATCATAGATTTATTTCAATGAATAACTCCATTCAATAACTTTACACAATTTGGAGGATAAAAAAATATGAAAATATAACTTTTGTTAAGGCTTCACTACCATTTGGTTGGCATCAGAAAAGTATATAATTCTTTGCTTAATCTTAGATCTTATGTATAAATAAATAAATTAATGTAGAAACATTCAGGTGAATTAATTCATGTATCTTGCCAATCATCCACAGCTGATCGTACAATGAAGGGTGTAAGTTTCCCTTGGCCCCAGGCAGACAAACCTCAGTTCTTCTATGTTACATCTGGCCAGGAAGAGATTGCTGGTTCAGGGACCTCATACTTGAACCGTACAGAGGCCTCCAGTGTAGAAAAGTTGGTAACACGCTTCCTCAACTCAGGAGTGAAGCCAGAGCAAATTGGCGTCATCACACCTTATGAAGGCCAAAGGGCTTATTTGGTTGGTACAATCTGTTTGTTTATATGTCTATTGGACATGCTTACTATTCTTGTATGTGAGGGAATGTTTTTGTGATACCTAATAAAGACTTGTGAACTAGGGAGAAACCATGTTTATTGAAGATGTTTAATACAGTACATGTATAGTGATATCACTGTTAGCCAGAACAATTGGTGCAGAGCACTCCTGTGGATGAGAGATTTCCAGGTAACGAGACGACTCTAACCCGGAAAAATTCCACATCCCTGGAAATTTTCCGGGTACTCTGTACTGGGAAAAGTTTCCAAGAATCTAAACTATGCATCTCGCACAGACAGACACTATCGCACATCCCTGGAATGCTTCTGGGTCCTTGGGAAAGTTTTCTGAGAGTCTAAATTACACATCTCATCTTGACTAAACTACGCACGAACAAAGACTCTCCCATTACGGTTATGCCGTGGGCATGAACGAAAATATTTACAGGTAGCAAAAAAGTGTACAGTATAAACTTTTATTCACAGCATCTGTTATAATAGTGTTAGAGAAATGAATTTGGTATCATTTTAATGATTCTGAATAAATACTCTACAAAACAGTTCCAATAAAAGATCATTAAACAAAATATTTCTGCATGATATAATGATGGGTATTAAATTTTTTTATGAAAAAAGTTAAGAAATGTTGATACCGGAACCTATAAAATCAGTTCTAGTCAAGTTAGAAAAAAAAACATTGTTTCCAAATAATCCTGAATAGTTTATATAAAAGTTTAGTTTGTAATAAAAATATTATTATTTCTTTTATTTTATTTATTATTTATATTTGTTTATTTGTACCCTTTCTTTATTACTGTTTCTCTTCTTCATTCTTTAATTCACTTTTCTTATTCTTAATCTTCATTTTTTTCTTTGTTCTTTATATTAATGAGAGGAGGGAAGGTAAAGAGGGAGCGAGGGAAGGAGGAAGAACGCCTGGTTTGTGGTCAGGCCACCGCCCTCACACCAAAGAGGAGAGGGGGGGGAGAATGGAAGTAGGCGATAGGGATAACATGCGATAACCGAGACACTAGGGGATAAAGGTCATATTTATGTTGTTACTTATGGTTACTGTATCACGCAAAGACACTTAAGAGGAATGTTTTATTCAATGCACAAGGGAAGGGAATTGAGAATCATCCTTAATGGTTCTTCATTTATTAATGACGTTACTTACAATGTACAGTTACACTTTCAAAACAATACCCCATTCTCCTACCAAGTTAAATGGGGTCACATGAATCACAATACATCTCGTGAAACGGATAACCTTAAGTTGGGAATGCTGTACAGATGCCGTAGCTATTTCACTCCTGAACAGATTCATTCGTCCTAACTTGGAGTACTGCTCTCATATCTAGGGTGGCTCTTCTTCTGTCAAACTGTTAGATAGAGTGGAATCAAAGGCATTTCGTCTTATTAACTCTCCTCCTTTAGTTGACATTCTTTCTTCCCTTACTCTTCGCTGCAATGTTGCTTCACTATCTCTCTTTTACAGGTACTTTAACGGGCAATGTTCGGTGGATTTGGCATCCTGTGTACCGCCGGCAAGGCCGTGGGCTCGTAACACACGTCTTGTTTGCGGTGCCCACCGTTTCTCTGTGGATGTCGGTCACACTAGAATAACTCGTTATAGTATATCCTTCTTTCCTCACACAGCCAAACTGTGGAATGCTCTGCATTCTTCTGTGTTTCCACACTTATACAATCTGTGTCACTTTAAAAAGCTGGTTTTCCAGCATCTTCGTGGTGTAGATTAACACAGTATAACCTTTTTCTTCTCTATTTTAAATTTCTTTGTTCTTATTTTTTCGCCCCCCTAGGCTCCATTGTGGGTCATTCGACCTGTGCCCGGGTGGGCTAATTCCTGTAAAAAGAAAAAAAGTGCACTTTATATATATATCTCGTCATGTTGCACGTGCAGACCCACACACGTCCACACCCAGACACTTTCAAACACAGACTCTGGATTTGAAAACTGAGTGTACTTGCTAATGGGCATGACACTGTCAGCTTAGCGTGCTGCAGGCATATTTTTGTCTAAAACGAGATATAATCTACTCCATAATCATGACACCTTTACAGGTTAATTATAAAAAAAATAAATAAGATAAAAAACCTATAATTGTGTTAGAGAGATGAATTTGGTACCAAAATGATCCTGAATAAATTCTCAACAAGACTGTCTCAATCATAGATCCTAAAACAAAATATTTTGAGATGATATAATGATGGGGATTTCATTTAAAAAAAGACAATTGTAAGAAATTTTGATTCTGGAGTCAATAAAATTAGTTCTAATTATGCTAGAAATGCTTTTTTTTCTAGAATAGCTCATCTAAAACTTCGGTTAAATAAATATATTTAAAAAAATTAAAACCTATATGATATGGGCGTGTGAGGAGTGACTGGAACTGTATCACAGCTAAGACAGTTGAATTTTCCACTCTGCTCTGGGTAAAGTTTTCCCTGTGCATTTAAACTACAGTACGCATCTTGCACGGACAGACACGAGCTGTATTTATTTATGCAAACACCTCTGTACACATGCAATATATTGTATACAGTATAAACAGAATAATGTATACTACTACAGTACTGTACTGTATATACTGTATTCACCAGCAGATGCTGTTGTCGTGAGTACAGTAGGCATACACTGGTGATTGTAATACGTAACTGTAATCACTTCGTCTTAACATGGGTCTCACGTTACTGACCTGACCTGATGCAATGTCAGGTCAGCCATTGTATATAAACTCTAATTTCATTTATAGTGGAGGTGGGGTGGGTGTTAGTGGTTTCATATTTCAGTACTGACCTTTTGTTGCAATGTCAAGTCACCCATTATCAGGGTGGGGATTTAGTGGATCTCGTGATCTGAAAATGTCTTAAATAAAGACGAAAGCTATGGTACTCCAGTGTATCCCACTTACTGAATGTACAGTACAGGATATGTATCTGAGATCACTTTACATTTTTAACACCGTATTCTTGGCTGATTGTGTCTTGATACAGTAATGTACAGTACTGCACAACACAAATTGTTTGCAAAAATAGCAGCTAGCGAGGGAACAACCTTTTACAATGGCAGCAGAATATGAACTAAGCAATCTAAACAGCTAGGCTGCCATGCTCCTGGCAAGTGGGGATGCATTGGAACATGGTACAATCTTTCAGAACTACTGGAAAATTTATTCCCAGGCCCAGAACGGAGTGGTTTGGAGAGATTTTCTCTTAACCTTCTTGGATATTTTCCGGAAAGTGTGCCGGATTTTTATCCTTGGAAACTCGTTTACAGACCTGGAATGGAGAGAGTTTTCCTAGAAATTTTCTGACCTGATTTCTATTCCAGCTATTAGAGAATTACGAGGATCGGGGATTCCGGGTAATGGGGAGTTTACTACAGTATGTATTGTTTTAAGAGCTTTTTATTATTTCACAAGACTCACAAGAATAAAGGGGAATAAGATTATAGTGTTGAGGATTAATGACAAATGTAATTACTTTTAACAAAAATAAGCTGGTAATATACTTATTTTTTACATTATTTGAAAATTTTTCCTCTAGGTTCAGTACATGCAATACCAAGGTCCTTTGAACCAGAAGCTCTACCAGCGTTTAGAGGTTGCAAGTGTGGATGCCTTCCAAGGGCGAGAGAAAGACCTCATCATTATGTCTTGTGTGCGGTCCAACGAGCACCAGGGTATTGGCTTTCTCTCAGATCCACGAAGACTGAATGTGGCTCTTACTCGAGCTCGTTACGGCATCATCATTGTGGGCAACCCCAAAGTTCTCTCTAAGGTGAGCAGTGTTTTGTACACATATCCTCATGTTACACCATAATAGATAAAAGTTCTTGTGCAGTATTGTCTAATTTTATTTCTTCTCCAAGTCTATCAGTTTTGGGATCTCTTTAGTAAGGGCTCAGACATAGAGGTGTTAGGGGAAAAATATGTGAAGCTTTACAGTTCAATAATAATTTTTCATTAATGTTACTGTTGCTTGAGTTATAAAGAAGTGCAGTATGTTGGGGAATGATGAGGGGTGTCAGTCTGGTTGTTTGTCTCACAATAGGGTCTATGTACTGTAGTCAGTTCATTTATTTGTGATAGTTTTCTTGAAAATTTGATCGTAGACTGAAGGTAGTGTACCATTGCTTTGTTAACTATCTCATATGTTGTTTTGAGGAGTGGTTCTACCAATTAAGTTTTTTTTATTATTAATTATATGTCAAATATTTCCACACCTGAGAGTTGTTACTAATTAAAGGCGTTTTATATTTAAAAACAAAATATAAATGTAATTGAAAAATCAGGCATATTAATGCTTCAATATATTACTACAGTCTCCCTCTAACTAAATGTTCCCTGTAGTAGAACTCCATTATATACAGTATAGAAAAATTATAAAGGTGAACTTGCAGTTTTATTTTACACTGGCTTGAATTTTTTTAAACATTATCATGTTGTGAAAGTCATCATAATATAGAAATTTATATGTTTTAGTAGTTTTAATTTTCCAGGAGTTTTTTCTTCTTATTTTTTATCAAAAATAGAATTTTTGGGTACACATTGATAAAATTTGAGGAGCTGCATGTGTTTGTCTGTTGAAAATGAATGCACAAAAAAATCTTCTTCAACAGCAAGGGTTATGGAATCACTTACTCCATCACTTTAAGGAAAAGAAAGTCTTGGTAGAAGGTCCATTGAATAATTTAAAAGAATCAATGATGCAGTTCAGCAAACCTAAGAGGCTCATCAACGCCACCAACCCAGGTTCTCACTTCATGAACACGGCCATGTATGATGCACGAGAGGCCATGGTGCCAGGCTCTATGTATGACCGCTCAGGCCCCATCAACGGCTCAGCACCTCCCCCTTCACCATACTTCAGAGGTACTGTACAGTTTAACTGACATTTTGGTTTTTAAATGTAACTGTAATGTCTTAAGATCAAAATACACAGTCACTGTGCATCTTCTCTGAAAAAATCATCATCATAGCCAGGGCTGTGGAGTCGGAGGAAATTTCGGCTTGTGGAGTCGGAGTCGGTAAAATTGTCCAGACTCCGACTCTGACTCCGACTGAAGCTGTTCTGTTCCTAAGAACAAATATATGAACTCAGGCATATTCATTGCAGTGATTCCACTGATCCCACTAATTTTCTTAAATTATTAAAAGAATTTATTTCGATTTTATAAGCATTATTATGAATTTATTGTAGCAGGCACAGTATAGCACTATAATTTTGGACGATAGTCTCTTCTTTACCATTTGAAATTTTGAATTATATCAAATTTTGTTTCGTTGAAAACTGCACAGAGGCTCTCGGCTACAAAACAATTAGCTACAACCTGTTTTTGGTGAGATTAAGGCAAATTTAATTTAATAACTTAATCATGTAAGGTTTATCCATTTTCCTTAATAAGGTATTCATTTCTTTAATGTACATAAATATATAACTTTACTTTAAAAGGAATTGTAGGATCATCATTTAGATCCACATCAGATTATGAGCTTAAACAAAATTCATATGCTGAGATCGAACTTTTAGATATACATGTAAATGGTGTTTTCTAGTTAATATCTTGAATTCTTAATAAATTTATTTTTCTTTTGATTGAAACTTTGAAAGTCAAGCCTATCATCTTTTTGTAGTTCTTAAATATCGTCCAGATCATTAATAAAGCTGTAGCAGTATAGCCACGGTGTTTTACTTTTTACCTACGCAGGTTACAACATACAAATTACAATTAGGATGGTAGAAATAGTTGTTACAAATAGGCCAAGGAGTCGGAGTCGAAGTCGGAAGCATAAAAATTTGAGGAGTCGGAGTCGAAGGTTTTGTCTTCGACTCCACAGCCCTGATCATAGCCATTTGGTGTTTTTATTATTAATAAGTTCAGAAAGAGGAAACAAATATTTTCATTAATTTATTTCAACAGGACCACAGTATGACATGTATGGACGTGCACATGATTCGCTGGACTACATCTCAGCTGACCACTCCCAACCTGGACTTAACAACTTACCTGTACCAGTGGGGATGTTCATGAACATGGCTCATGTCCCTCCACGATTTTACCAGCAGCATCAACAAGCTCTGGCTCAGGCTCGAGGTAGCCGGGGTGGAGCTCGTGGAGGCCGAGCAGGGTCAAGGAAGGTGACCAAGAACATGGGTGGTGCAGCTGGTGCTCTTCAGCTCTCACAGCCATTCAGCCAAGATCCATCAATGCAAAGCTACTCCCAGCCTGGCCTTACACAAGGTCATTTGTCACAGGTATGGAGATGAATTTTTTTTTTATCTTGCACTTTAAACTTCCTATATAGCTCTCGTAGTGATTACTGATAGATTTTACTTTTATGTAAGACTGTTAATATTGGGTCAGTCATACAGGTTAGTTTTACTTTATTATTATTATTTATTTATTTATTTATTTATTATTATTATTATTATTATTATTATTATTATTATTATTATTATTATTATTATTATTATTATTATTATTATTGCTTGGTATCACTAGTGTGTGTGTGTGTGTTTGTTCAGTGTTTATTGGTTCATTCTACATTTATAAAAGTGAATATTGTTACAGATGTGTGTAGTACTGTATATTTTTTCCGTGCTTAAAATTTGTTAAAATATGATGATAATATTAATTTTATATGTGGCTGGAAGTGAGGTTGGTGATAACATTGACATATTTTTGAGCAGGGTATGTCTGGACCTGTCCTAAGTGGATTGTCCCAAGGAGGCCTATCCCAGGCAGAATTATCCCAAGACTCGTACATGGTGGACCAGTTCCAGAGTCAGACAGACGGCCTCCTCTCCCAAGACTCTACGTACCAGGGCGACCGTGCGTTCTTCACTCCAGCATCACAAACGCACCACTTCTCGCAGGTATTGTCTCAAATTTGTGAAACTGGATACGTGTCAAGACTTGTATCTTTGACTGACATTAGCCATGTAATATATAGCTTTTCACCCATCAGTTTTGCTCAATGGTATACTGTATATATTCCCATTTTGTGCATGTGCACTTGTATGTGTCTTTTAACCTGAAACTTGCCAACAAAGGTCGTTTAAATAATTGTCATTATTTGTTTTTAAAGTTGGTAGGCATCAACAATACCACTCTTAAGATATCTTGACCTAGGGGTTTATTATCACAGGTGGTGGGGGTGAGGGGTGTGCTTACCTTTGTGAAAAAACAAGTACCGTTCAAAGCTCAACTTCCACACCACAGAACTTGTGAAGGCTGTTGTTACTAAATTTGAACCAAATTTAGCTGAAATTGCATATCATATCCAGGCACAAGCCTCACATTATATTTAATATTGTACAGTACTGTGTATTTTTATTTGGATGTGAACCCTTATTTTGTAATGCAAAAAGCCAACTTTATGCTACTTTAACACAACATCTGTGAAAGACAGTTTTATCTCTAAAATTATCACATACCCGGTAAACCTTTTTTCGTTCTGTGCTGTACAGTATGTCGTAATATTTCGAAAAGTATTTTTCAATGCATTTCTGTATTATGAATGTGATAGTTTATTTGTATTGCGAAAATAAAATTTTATACAGTACAGTGGTCCCTCGGTTAACGAACTCAATTCGTTCCAGAGGGTCGTTCGTTAACCGAAAATTTTGTTAACCGAAACCATTGTTTCAATGGGATGTTGGGTAATTAGTTCCAGCTCACAGAAAAGTATTTACAAAGTAAAGCCAAAAATGCATAAAGTCAGAAACACTCCTAAAATTCCTCTAAATTGCCCTAAAATCACTATATACTGTATATATACGTACATATACACTCTTACTCTTAAATCACTACTGTAATGTGGTACAGGTGATTAATTTTTATCTCGTGCAAAATATATGACATTTATATTCAAATTATTCGGTCTTGCAAGGATTCCAGCAATGGAAATTATATTCTCATAACTTTAGTCTAAGATATTATATAAGATAAGAACTGTAAGCCTATAACCCTGGCTGGGAGGGAGGGAGGGAGTGAGTGAGCGAGCGTGTGGGGGGGGCGGGTGAGGTGATATGTTTGGCAGTTTGAGCTGAAGGTCTCCTGTGTGTTTATTTAACAGTCCTACTAAGCTTCTCTCATTTTAAAATGCCATTGAAATGGCCTGGGAGAATATAATTAACATTGCTGGAATTCTTATAAGATAGTGATTATTTTGAATATAAACAAGCTATAATTTGCATTAGCTATACAAATAGTCTGAATTTTTTATTGCCTATTCAATCCTGTTAAATACATTGTTGACTTAAGTTGCCGGAGTACAGCTGCAGCCAATTGCTGATTACTTGCCATTTAAGTGGTTGACTAGTATATAAAGGTTGTGGACCCCTGCCTAGAGTAATATTTCAAACCGGGCCGGCTAGCTGTAGTCGTATTTCGATGTAAGACCCACTTCACAAGAGCGACCACCCCCCCTCCCCTCTGCACGTACACACTTGCATGGTTTTAATATTTATGAATTTCAATGGGATCGTTTACCGGGAGGAGCACACACAGGAAAATTCACACGTAGGAGACACTCATCCCACACCTGTACCTGTAGTGATATCTCCGTTAGCCGGAACAATTGATGCAGAGCACTTCCGGGAATGAGAGATTTCTGGGTAACGAGACGACTCTTTTAAAGCAAGAAAAAAAATCCATCCTCGGAATTTTCCGGGTAACAGAAAAATGTTTTTTGAAGTTTCAGAAATTGTCCATTAGATCATCTTTCGAACCCGGAAAAATATTCCTCATTCCCGGTATTTTCTGGGTACCCCCATACTGGAAAAATTTTCTCAGAATTTCCTGAAAATGCATTGTTTTTCATCTCTCAAACCTGGAAAAAACTCCCCCATCCCCAGAATTTTCTAGTTGTCGGGAAAATTCCAGCTTTAGGAACAACTTCACAAAAAAAACATTAAATTCCAGCTATTGGAGAGTTTCAGTTTGAGGATTCAGGCTAACAGAGATATTACTTTCAAACCGCAGCATGGAAAACTATGCTGAGTGTTCTAGAATTGTTCATTTGGCAATGGTAAATGCTAGTTTAAATGTTTACACTCATTTACAAATTCATTCATTCATGCACTCTCACTTACTCTCTCATACATACACTCACACACAGTGTTCTTTTGTATTCTTTTTATCTTATTTTAGTTATTTTAATGCACTACAGCTCCTCCCCGACTTACGACCTACTCGCCTTACGACCACCCGCGTTACGACCTGCCTCAGTTGTACCAAAATTTTGTCAAATTACGCATTTTCGAGTGCCAACGTCCGTGATTCCACTGTGTACTGACAAAATTTTCGTTTGTAATTCATATTAAAATGGCTGGCAAGCTTAAAAGTGTGAGTTTTGTGGTGCTGAGAAGAAAAAGAGACACCCATTTTAGATGTTTTATGTACAGGCAGTCCCCGATTTACGACGGGGTTAGGGACCCAAATCCAGGTCATAAGTCGAATTGGTCCTAAGTCGAAAATGCAAAAAATAATACATAGAAAATCTAAAATGAAATACAGTACAGTAAAAGTAATCAATAATGTAGTCAGCTGAATGCACACAGGACCCCAATAATTTTTTAATTAAACATGGAGAATACATTAATTGGATGAAGCAGAGGAGGAGACAGGGCTGGGTGGTTCATCAATGTCTCTTTCTTCAGACAGGCTAACATACTTGCTTGTTGAAGGTATTGGATCATCTTTAGGGAGTGAAGAGGCAGCACTGGTGGGGCATGAGGAGACAGCAGTGGGGGGGACTTCTTAAAATATATGTCCAATTTAGAATGCACTGTTTGCCTTGTAAATTTCCCTGTAGCAAGCAAGTGCATCTTGGATCATTCTGTCAACTTTTGCAAAACACTCAACATTTTGATCCATTTCGTCTAACATTTGCATCCCCTTATTAATAGTAGCAAATGCCTCTGCCATTTGTTTCTTCTGAGCACCACCAAAACTCTCACTTTTATGCTTGCCAGTCATTTTAAAGCGAATTAGAACCGAAAATATTTAAAATATTGTCAGTACACAGCCCGATCACTACCGAAAACAACGATGGCCAAACACCAACTGAGCGCGCTATGGCGTGGACGTTGTACACCACGAGGTGGCTCAGCCCACTCCATGCTCTCGTATGGGACGGAAACGTTTCGGTACTGGAAAATACATACGTAATTTGAATTTTTTTTTGTACGACTGAGGCGGTCATATGTCCGGGTCGTCGTATGTCGAGTAGGTCGTAAGTCGAGGAGTACCTGTATTATTTAATCATTTTCGACTTACGACCTGGATTTGGGTCCCTAATCCTATCGTAAGTCGGGGAATAGCTGTATATGGTGTGTACTTGTACATTGAAAAATAGTTGCGATAAAATAAGAATTATGGAGGACAAAAGTATTTAATTGAAATGAGTGTGTGTGTGGACTTGATAGGTCGCCAAGTTCAATTGTCCCTGTAGCTATATCCCCTAGCTCTCCTCCTACCAGGCGAACCTATGTTGTTGTTATTTTTCGGTTTGTAATTTTGATTATGCATTTTTATAAAAATTTTACCATTACATTCACACACAATCGTTCATATAGAATGTGGAAAAAATAAATAAATAAAAGAAAGGATTATCATAAGAAGTAAATGTGCAGATTGTGGGAGAGGCAGAGGGGAGTGGATAGGTGGTTTGGTGTCAGGGATCTTGGCCTTTCCCTGCTGGGCGAAGCTGTGAGCTACATTATTGTTACTTTTCAACTTGAAATTTTGGGTAGATATACAAAATTTTCTTCACATTTCTTTACTCTGTAACATGCATACAGAGTGTGCACAAAAATTTAAATTAAAAATAATTATCATCGTCAAAAACATAAGGGAATAAATATTTCTTGTGTGCACAGTAGATAGTACACGGATTGTGAGAGGGGGGAGTTTGTGTTGGAGATGGCAGCCGCACCAGTCTCTCGCTGACTGGCAATACTGTATTTTTCTTTATTTTATTAGTACTGTGCAATTTTATTTCTTGCACACTTACTGGTACTACAGGTTGTACCTCTCTAGTCCGGCATTCTGTGGTCCGGAAACTCCCGTGGTCCGGAACGATTTTAGTTTGTCCAATAGGTAGATAGGCAGCTTTTTTTTTTTTTTTTTTTACTTATCTGAATTATTATTATTATTACAGGAGTATTAAATTTTTGCCCCTCAGGCCCTAATGTGGGTCAGTGACCTATTCCCGGGTGGGCTAATCCCCTTAAAAAAAAAAGCCGCGGGAAATTAAGGTTTGTTTACATCCGGCAGTTCGGCTGCTCTCTCTCTCTCTCTCTGCTTGTCTATACAGAGTACAACATTTAACCCTTCAATATATATGAGCAGTAAATAAGTGTTGCTTTCATATTCTTATGTAGAGTAATGACGATATATTTTCACATGTGCGCACTTACATACGAGCAGTCTCACTTTTATTTTTACCATTAATGGTTAGCTACTTATATTGTTCTATTTATTAACATTAAATAACATTACAGGTACTTCAAGCAACCATATTCATTGTTTTACATTAATTTTACTACAGCTAAACTCAGGGTCTTATTTTCTTCAGTTTTATATGTAGAACCAATCAGTCACTGGTTTCGTAAGCTTTAACATAAACAATGCCGGCAGCCGTCTCGTCTCCTCTAATATTCCACGTATTATTAATAAATTGTATTGTTAATTTTGCACACACGTACATTAATTCAATAAAAACAAATTCAGAAACATTAATTAAAATATATATGAACAGTAAATAAGTGTTGCTTTCATATTCTTATGTAAAGTAATGATGATATGTTTTCACGTGTGCGTCTGCGCACTTACATATGCGATCTCTCTTTTTTCTTTATCATTATCGTTAGCTACTTCTATTGTTCCATTTATTAACATTAAATAACATTACTTAAAACAACCATATTAATTTTACTACTGCTACAACCAAGGTCTTATTTTCTTCAGTTTTATATGTAGAACCAGTCAGTCACTGGTTTTGTAATCAACGAATATAATGCTGTGTCATTTCCTCGTGTGTTTTAATATTCTACGTATTATTAATGAATTGTATTGCTCATTTTGCACACATAAACATTAATTCAATAAAAAAGACATTCAGTAATAAACAATAATGAATCTTTTGTACATAAGAGAAATGACGCTGTTTACACGATTATGCACGTCGTCTGCACGTTGGCGGACCGTTCAAACCCGTCGAAATTCAAATTTCCGCCGTCAAAATTTTTATTTATTTATTTTTTTTGTGTGCCAATAAAATATGTTAAGAATTAAAAACTCGCAAAATTTGAGAAGCTACTATACGACATTTAACCCTTCAATATGTCTTCAAAGAGACCATGATGCAGAGAAAGTGGTGCTAGTGCTTCCAGGCATAAGCACAAGTCACTATCTATCCAGGAAAAGGGTGAATTTCCATGGTCCGGCAATTTCCATGGTCCGGCACCGATCAGGTCCCGAGGTTGCCGGACTAGAGAGGTACAACCTGTATACTACAGTATACACTTAACCCTGGTCCCTAATAGCCTCGGATAATGAGGAGTGTACAGTACAGTATATTGAAAAAAATGTGCTAAAAGTTGCTGGCTGATAATACATCCCCTCCTATTTACATTAATTCTCATGGGGAAAATTGGGATGATAATAGCCAATTTTTTATTCCCAATGACTTTTAGGATTGCATCTCTTGTGGTAATTGGGGTATACCTGTACACACTACAAAAAGTATCTGCAAATTTTTTTTGTAAACAATATGACACAACGGAAGAAGAATTTTGATAACCCTACTGAGTTAACAGGAGTTACGGTATTCATTTTGAAATTCATTGGACCCTACCTTGCAGATACTTTCTGTAGTGAGTGTACCTGTACACACGCACATGAACGAGTTCAAACAATTTATGATTGCTGTTGTATTGAAAGTTGTATTAAGCCATTTGATGTGATATGTAATAAAATTCTGAAGAGTTTTAGAAAGGTAACTTGATGCACAAAATGGTTGTTCATGTCATAGTTTTAACTTCTTACAGTGGAGGAAAACATGATGCACTGAAAAATGGTAAATTTGGGATGATTTTTCTGTGCACTTGTTGCACTTTTGTTTGGGACGGATGAAAGAGTACTGAAAAATGAAAGAAAGGGGAAAATAATAGGGGTTTGTGCATGGCATGCTTTGATAGCAAACAAGAATCAAGAAAACACACAAAATTCTTTGCTCATATTTGCGGTAAGATTTTCTGATTTTTTTGTTTGTCTTTCTTTCTCCAAGCATTATTTGATGTATTCTTTTGTTATCCGCAGCCGTACTGATGGCAGACCTGAAGAGATCCCCTGGCGCATGAAGGCGATGAAGCAGCGCACCAGAGCAGCAAAACAGCAAGCAGGTGGAGTAACAAAGAGGGGCACCTACAGCAGGCGCAGCAGCAGCAACAGCAGCGGCACAAGGAATAGCAGGCTAAAGCAGTCAGTCACCTATTGTGGTTTAAGTCACATGCTGACCTCATGGCTACGAAAGCTATTGGGAGGAAGGAGCTTTGATTACAGGAACAACATGTTCGACTCTGCGGAGGCCTATGGCATTAATCATGGGTTTTTGTCAAGGTTGATGTCAAAAGTCTAGTCTCAAAAATTAATATTTTTGGGGTCTTGTAATGCTCTCAGGCAAATGCTGGCTTATACAGAAGATCTCTTCTGGTTCCTAAGGTCTTTAAAGCACAGAAAATTACCTGAGAAATTCCTTGACAGGAAATTGTTCTTGGTAGCAAGAATGAGGTTAGGACACCCAGATGTGATGTAAAGCAAGATGAGCAACTTCCAGCACAGCCTCCTCCTCTCCCTGTTGGGTTGGTGTAGGAGATGTAACTCTCGCATGGCCACCGGTGACTGCTGTGCTGCCTTGACGTCAGTGCCTGTGTCCTGACTAGTGGTGAGGCCCACGCTCACTCCTCCATCACCTACTCACACCACTGGCAACTACCATGTGGAACATGAGTAGCAGGAGACTCCCAACGTATACCCAACAACATCCATTTGTCGGTCGTCACTGTTTCTATTTCTGTTGCGTAAGAATCTGTTTTTGTAATCAACCTATTCATTATATGCTGGGTATTTGGTTTTAGTTACAAGGGTGTGTACGATACCAGGCACCTGTAATTACTCTTTTTGTGTACTTAATTTACTTTTTTCCACTGTTGACTAATCAATTCGTCACAATATTAAGGAGGTGGCAGTTCTATGAAGTGTGAGGCAGGGTTGACATATTGTACCTAAATTTTAGTTGATGTCTGTGCAATGATGTTTAAATATTTTTTTCCCCAATCTTTGTTATTGTTCTGTACTACTGTGAATAACCAATTTCTTAGTATGGTACAAGTACAAATTATAAAAGAAAATGAAAGGAAACTGCCATAATTGTATTTGGTAATTAATAAAACCAATGAAGTACAGTAATGTTTTTTGTAATCATGGAAAAGAGTTGTAGCAAGTTTTGTTCAATAAGGAAACAAAGTATGACAAAGAAATAATTCTTTTTAATTACTGTACAGTATTATCTTTTTAAAAAAAATTCCTTTAAAATTAAGAGACTTATCAGGTGTCTCCAGCCGTTGGATAATAATTTGAAGGCAGTTATGTTACTTTTATACTTCTCAGATTATTGGCTTTTGTTTCAAGCTGTGAATTATCTAACTAAGCTTTTTGATTTCAGGTGGCACAAGTTACGTTATAATAAAAGGTCGTGTAACTTTGTCAAATAAAGGAATAATTGTGAATTCCCCCCACCCTTCTTTAGTTTCTCACTTTTTTCTGTTCAATTTTTTTCCAAGTCCAATCAGCATACAAAATTTTAAAGAAATTCTTGAGAAGATTAGACTTCTTGAACTATTTTCCCCTCTCCCTTTTTAAAGTGAATGAACTCCTGTGATTTAAACAATTGTCTCTTAAAATTTTTACCTTCATTGATGAAACTTTTATAGGTAAGCATTAATTTGCTGAGATCAAAGTTGTTAACAATATTTTACTGTAAGACTTATTCAAAGTGACATGATTATTCACCTAACAGGAGCTTATTTATATTTTCTTCTTGATTGGGTCTTAGAAATTTTATTTTTCTGAATTTCTCTCAAGGAAACAAAGGTGATATCACAATAAAATTTGAAAGAATGTGCGAGCTTCATTTCTTCTCCCTTGTGATTTTGGTTGCCGGTCAAATGGGTCCCAATCCTAATGGTTTTAACCCTTTAGGTGCGTAATTAAATTTCGCGCCGGTTCCTGAAAAGTGTCAATTATCCTGCCAAAAATGAATTTCATATAATCACATTTTCTATATGTTTTTCCTAGAGAACTTTTAGTATATTTTCCAAATCTGGAACAAAAATTCACATATGTGTGCAAATTTTAGAGAAAAAATGACATTTATACCCAAAAATGCAGGAAATTGGTATAAATCAATGTCTGGTATATGGCAAATAAATTTAATCAATTTGGTTACTAAACAGCAAATTTAGATATGTATTACATATTCAGATAATATCAAACAAAATAGTACAAAAATAAGCTATATTGCATTCAGGAAATACTCCTATACCTCAATACATAATATGTCCGCATGTCGTCTCATTTGGGGAAGTTTTTTCAAGGCCGTGGGATATCCCCGCTTGTCGCATTTAATTAATATAATATTTTGGGCGGGTTTACCCGCATGTCGCATCCAAAGGGTTAAATCTAACCTACAGTAACCATTAGGATTTGGGCCTATTAAGATTTGGGGCAACTCGGCTGAAAAGAGCTGAAATCGTTGTGCACCAAATGGGTGTCAGATACTTCCATAATGGCACCATATACTGAGCAAGCAGAAAATTAAGTTTAAGGTAACTGATTAATTTTAATTTATATTATTTACTGGTCCACATCAACTGTATCATTTATGGATAGCTCTATATTCTTTGTTTTTTTCAGGGTTCAGAATACAATCTTTAATTCTAATTTCTGTGCATTTATATAAGTACAGTATACATAGTCATTTTTTATACATACCCAGTTCTGGTACAATCCATAAGCCGGGTCAACAAAGTCGACATTGAGAGCTTGACATGACCATTTAGGTTTATGTAACAGCAAACTAAACATTCGGTTAATATTGGCATTCGGACTGCTTGAGATTCTATGAAAGACTAGATGAGGATGTCTCCTTTTTTTCTTACAAATAATGCATGAATGTGATATGATGGTCACTGTCGCCATGGCATAAACAAGTAAACAACCAGCACCATATTGATGTTGAGCGGTTTCGTGTGTGTTCGTTTGTATGTTAGTTTATCTGAGGTCCCAAATAATAATTACTCTATTGGCCATAATTTGATTTCATATTTTTACTCTGGTCTTTGAGCCAAACCCTCATGACTGGATAAGTTTTAACCTATCAGGGTTGGGGTCATTTAACCCTTAAGTAATTTTGATACTACATTAAGTTGTCATATATGGTACAGGTAGTCCCCATTGTTTGTCTTTTAGTTAATTTGTCATCTGAAAAATAGATGATTAACATTTTAGTCAATCCTTCTCTGGCTAGTCTATCCTCTTGTACCACAGTTTCAACAAATATTGTTATCCAGCATGTGATCCTTCATTGTAAATGTTCAATTTGTTGACTGGTCATTCAATTTTATAGTTAAATCTTAAAAAATCTAACTACAGACAACTGTACAGCCACTCCTCAACTTAAAGACCTACTCGACTTACGACCACCCGCACTTACGACCTGCTTCATCGTACCAAAATTTTGTCAAATTACTTATTTTCGAGTCCCGACGTCAGTGATTGCGCTGTGTACTAACAAAATTTTTGTTTGTAATTCACTTTAAAATGGCTGGCAAGCTTAAAAGTGAGAGTTTTGTGGTGCTGAGAAGAAAAAGAGACACCCATTTTAGATTTTCTATGTATTATTTAAGCATTTTCGACTTACGTCCTGGATTTGGGTCCCAAACCCCGTCGTAAGTTGGGGAGGAGCTGTATTTTGTATTAGAATTATTTATGTAATATTTACAAGTATATATATACTAAAATACTTAAAAAGTAAAGAATATTGCAAATCATTAAACAAATTTTTCAAACAAAAGTGTAGAATTGGGCAGTTTGTTGTTTCACACCAAGGTATGCCATGATTTCTGCCATCCCTGCTGTGCATTGCGTTGGGTTAGCAATTCTAATTGCATAAACCCTTTCCCCTGCTGCTCTTCCAGTGCAAATCTCACCCAATGATGTACCAATCACATCTGTTTGGTGTGGGGGGATATTTTGGGGGTCCATCTGATGCATCGCCTATCTCCCCATGTTATATGTTATAACGTGTTCGCTCTACACAATGTTTTTTGGAAACGCAACTCTAACGTTAAGCGAGAGGGTAGTGTATTAAAATAAAGAAAACTCGCACCCCATATGTCTGGTACTCAGCTTGTGCTCTCCTCTACCATCCTGCTAGTTTGCTCCTCATCCTCTACAGCTGATCATTCTAAATCTACTAGGTTCAACCTCAATCACCGTTAAGCAAAATAATCCTTCCCCTGTTTCTTGGCTAGGTTCACCGACTTGAAGATTTGCTTGAAATGAGCCTTGCGGTAGGCGAAGGAAATGATGAGGAAGATGAGGGTCAGCACGTTGATGACGTCGTATGTGAGGTGGATCCTCACCTTATCTCCTACAATGCGCTCGACACACCCCGCCTCCATGATGGACTTGCGACTGGCGGAGCCTTTTGTGTAGATGCAGGGAACCTTTGCCCTCGTGTCACAGCAAGAAGGTGGGATCTTTGATTATTTTACTATCCATTCTTCGGCAGTGATGGCCCCGCAGCACTTGTAGTGGCGGTGTATCTCGTCAATCAACCTGTGGCTGTACTTGGATTCCATATACCTAATTCTGTGGTTAGCATATTCTGATATGAAGTGATCACTATGAGGCAATTCGCCCAACCATACCACAGACAGGAACAGGTTGAAGAAGACTAGGATAATGGAGGCGGTGTCGAAATACTCGATCACTTGTCCGGTTTAGAAACGACTATCTGCCACTCCTATCTTGAGTGGCTGTATCTGACACAACTGCTCCTTGACAAACAGAAGCACCAGTTGGAAACACACAATTGCCACAGTGCTGAAAACAGTCAGTGCTCCTAGAATGTTAAGTTTCAATTGCCCTTCCAGATCGCTGATGACAGACGGTGAAGAGATCCACGTGCTGTTGGCTAATACGAACATAGAGCTGATACAGATAATAACAATGTGGGAGACGAAGGAGGAAACCCAGGGGAGGGTGTCATCATAACCCACCTTTGGCTATGAACTTAGTGGAGTCTATACTGGACTACTTGAACTCATGCTACTCGATGGCCGCCCTCTTGGTTAACCACGGGGTCCCTCTGGCCTACCTCTTGGTTAACCACGGGGTCCCTGTGGCCTCCCTCTTGGTTAACCACGGGGTCCCTGTGGCCTCCCTCTTGGTTAACCACGGGGTCCCTGTGGCCGCCCTCTTGGTTAACCATGGGGTCCCTGTGGCCTCCCTCTTGGTTAACCACGGGGTCCCTGTGGCCTCCCTCTTGGTTAACCACGGGGTCCCTCTGGCCTCCCTCTTGGTTAACCACGGGGTTCCCGTGGCCTCCCTCTTGGTTAACCACGGGGTCCCTGTGGCCTCCCTCTTGGTTAACCACGGGGTCCCTCTGGCCTCCCTCTTGGTTAACCACGGGGTCCCTCTGGCCTCCCTCTTGGTTAACCACGGGGTCCCTGTGGCCTCCCTCTTGGTTAACCACGGGGTCCCCGTGGCCTCCTTGCTCTTCTTTGGTTACCTCTTCCTCTTGGCAATCCTCTTTGTTAGTTTTCTTCCATTATATAGTTTTATTTTACTTTTCTTTAAACAAAGCAAATCTCAGAAATTATCCATCTAGTTGCCGAATAACGTGTGTTACAAACAAATGGATTGGAACTTGTGGATAAATAGTAGGGTAAAGGGTCTATAATAGTAGATAAAGGGGTCTATAAAAGGGGAAATGGTCTACAATATTTCGGAAGGCAGTACAGGTATATAATAATGTACATGTGGTACTAGTGTTGTAGTGAATATGTGGTACTAATGTTGTAGTGAACATGTAGTACTAGTGTTGTAGTGAACGTGTAGTACTAGTGTTGTAGTGAACATGTAGTACTAGTGTTGTAGTGAACATGTAGTACTAGTGTTGTAGTGAACATGTAGTACTAGTGTTGTAGTGAACGTGTAGTACTAGTGTTGTAGTGAACATGTAGTACTAGTGTTGTAGTGAATGTGTAGTACTAGTGTTGTAGTGAACATGTAGTACTAGTGTTGCAGTGAATGTGTAGTACTAGTGTTGTAGTAAACATGTAGTACTAGTGTTGTAGTGAACATGTAGTACTAGTGTTGTAGTGAACGTGTAGTACTAGTGTTGTAGTGAATGTGTAGTACTAGTGTTGTAGTGAACATGTAGTACTAGTGTTGTAGTGAATGTGTAGTACTAGTGTTGTAGTGAACATGTAGTACTAGTGTTGTAGTGAACATGTAGTACTAGTGTTGTAGTGAACGTGTAGTACTAGTGTTGTAGTGAACATGTAGTACTAGTGTTGTAGTGAATGTGTTGTACTAGTGTTGTAGTGAACATGTAGTACTAGTGTTGTAGTGAACATGTAGTACTAGTGTTGTAGTGAACATGTAGTACTAGTGTTGTAGTGAACGTGTAGTACTAGTGTTGTAGTGAACATGTAGTACTAGTGTTGTAGTGAACGTGTAGTACTAGTGTTGTAGTGAATGTGTAGTACTAGTGTTGTAGTGAATGTGTAGTACTAGTGTTGTAGTGAACATGTAGTACTAGTGTTGTAGTGAACATGTAGTACTAGTGTTGTAGTGAACATGTAGTACTAGTGTTGTAGTGAATGTGTAGTACTAGTGTTGTAGTGAACATGTAGTACTAGTGTTGTAGTGAATGTGTAGTACTAGTGTTGTAGTGAACATGTATTACTAGTGTTGTAGTGAACATAAAGTACTAGTGTTGTAGTGAATGTGTAGTACTAGTGTTGTAGTGAACATGTAGTACTAGTGTTGTAGTGAATGTGTAGTACTAGTGTTGTAGTACTAGTGTTGTAGTGAATGTGTAGTACTAGTGTTGTAGTGAACATGTAGTACTAGTGTTGTAGTGAACGTGTAGTACAAGTGTTGTAGTGAACGTGTAGTACTAGTGTTGTAGTGAACGTGTAGTACTAGTGTTGTAGTGAACGTGTAGTACTAGTGTTGTAGTAAACATGTAGTACTAATGTTGTAGTGAACATGTGGTACTAGTGTTGTAGTGAACGTGTAGTACTAGTGTTGTAGTGAACATGTAGTACTAATGTTGTAGTGAACATGTGGTACTAGTGTTGTAGTGAACATGTAGTACTAATGTTGTAGTGAACATGTAGTTCTAGTGTTGAAGTGAACTTGTAGTACTAGTGTAGTAGTGAACTTGTAGTACTAGTGTAGTAGTGAACTTGTAGTACTAGTGTTGAAGTGAACATGTAGTATAGTACACTGTAACATCATTAATTTGACAAAAAAGGGGCTCTGGGTCACTCGAATTACCGAAACATCCGAATTAACCGAGATCAGAATATTTAGACAATTTCCAAAATTTTGTGTTCGATTATTCATTCTTTTCCTATTCAGTTTTTAACTTAGCCATGCCTTGGCTGCTATATAAAATAATTACAGTGATATCTCCGTTAGCTGGAACAATTGGTGCAGAGCACTTCCGGAAATGAGAGATTTCCAGGTAACGAGACGACTCAAAGCCGGAAAAAATTCTCTCATCCCCGGAATTTTACGGGTAACGGAATAATCTTCTCGGAAGTTCGAGAAATTGCCCATTACATCATCTCTCAAACCCGGAAAAATATCCCTCATCCCCAGAATTTTCCGGCAACGGAAAATTTTTCTCAGAATTTCCAGAAAATGTGCCCCTTGGAAAATAATTCCCAAAGCCGGAATTTTGCAGAAAATTCCGTCTTTGGGAACAATTTTCCGAGGAAATTTAAATTCTGGCTATCAGAGAGTTGCAGGTTTGAGGGATTCCGCCTAACGGAGATATTACTTTTATAATTACTGCACAAGTATTAATAAATAATTTTTAAATGTACAGTTCCCCCAAAAAGTATTGTTAGCCATGGGGTTGATTTGATTCAAGGCTATCAAAGCAATGTTACTCACCTGTTTCTGAACGGTTGGTAGTTCTACATCTGTGAACTTTGAGCATGATAGTATATAGTACAGTACGAGTATACGTTTTTGAACGTTGTGAATCCTCCGTGGCTTCAGATCTTATATTACATGACTCTGAGTGGATGTCGCAAATGAATACTAATGCCATGGATTTTACGTCAAATGGAGTGAGGAATTATCGGGGAGACATCGTAAGACGTGAGAGGTGCTATCATTGTCCTTCACAACAAGGGTATACGCAACTCTGAGATAGCATGGTGAACTAGGGTGAGCAAATCCACAGAATCACTATGGGTTAGGCGTCATGAAATAACTGGCACCTCACAGAAACTTATAATTACAAATGTCTGTTGCTTGCGAGTCCCTTGATTTGAAGCGTATCTTCAGTGTTAAATCAATGCAATTTACATATCATTAACATTGCAGATCCCATGTAAACTGATATATTATTGTATAATGCATTGCTGTAGCTGTTCAGTCTAATATCTATTACTATTTGTTTAGTCACTTTTTAAATAAGACATATCATGAACAACATGAGTAGGCATGTTGTGGAACTCAGTATGAATGAAATTCCTTTAGTACAGTTAAGTAATGGTGAAATATCCATTTTGAGGTCTGTCTCAGTCATGATGTTCTGAAACACTTCCATTTAAAGTATATTTCAGTGTTACTCTGATCATCAGTCAGTGGCTTGCTTACATATGCCTTGCTTCTACCCAGCACGAAACATACATTAATATAGCATAATTGATTTCTTGTTAAATTTAAGTACTGTATCTAGTATGGCATACAAGGATGAAGCCCCCCAATTCTGCTCTCAACTCTAGCTGTTGCTGATATGGCCAGCAGGCGGGCCAACTTATGATGATGCACTGAGGATTATTTCAAAACATTTCATCAAAGCATTTCAAATTGTAGTGACGGAAAATCTAATGATAATTTTTTTTAGGACTTCATACAGTACAATAATAATAAAGTACAGTAAATAATACAGTAATAATTAAATGTATCACTGCGAGATGAGCTGATGAAGCAAGGGGTGAAGTGACCAGTCTGGAGGTGAGGTGATGTGACAAGGCATTTACTCAACACACATTAACGGCACTACTAAACCATTGTCTTATAACATTTTGATATATAATTTTTATTTTAAAATTAATTAATACATGCTGGCTCGATTTGGCTACATTTGCACTTAGACAACTGATCAGTGAATAAACTAGGGTACATGGAGATGCATTATACACTACAATAATATTTATTAAGTTTTAATAAATATACCACAATATTATTTACTAAGTGCTCAAGACAGATCCTGTGGTAAGCACCAACCCCCTTGAGCAGTAACAGCAACAGTGGTTGAGAGATGGTGAGTGCTGGCAACATTGTTAGGGAGAGTAGAATGATCAGCTGTTACCTCTGCAGGGGCAGATCCAGGAATATCAAAAGGGGGAGACCAAGAAGTTATGGGTGAGAGTACATGGCAAGCACAGTGAACTCACCCAGCTGGTTTGTTTTTGGGGGGGGGGGGAATGCTGTAAGCCCCCAGAAAATGTTTTGAAATCTGACCAATATCATGAGCATTTTGAGACCATGTACACTTGATATTAGGAAATATTCTGAGGTCAATAAAAAAAAGTATTGGAATTTTCTGATGAAAAGGGGGTCCAGACCCCAAAGACCCCCCACCCCCCCTCTGGATCTGCCCTTGGCTTTGTAAACAAGAGAAGAATATACTACAGTGCAATAGCTCATTGGGGATTTGGTGTGGGATTTTTGGGGACAAATTAATTATTTTTCGATAATGTTTTATTATCCTGGCATCAAAAGAACCTAAATAATATGGGAATTATGGGTGAAATTTCATGCTGTTGTTATAAAGGGATCACAGGTTGCCGAGTGAGAGGTGGTGAGATGTCCTCCTACCCTCCTCCGCCACACGCCTCCTCCTCCCCTCTCGGGCTATGCATGCAGACGTAGTTTTGTACAGTACAGTATCTTAAATGCTTCAGCTAACATTAGGTATACAAGTAAATAACGTACAGCTATACATAATACAGTAGTTCAAAATTACAGTGTAATCTTAACTTTACAATAGACAGTTTTTTGTTGGGATCTAGCGAGAATGGGTAAACATGACATACAAGAGATAATGTACATGTCAGTGGATGACTCAAGAAAAAGTTTATTCATGATTTTTGGCCTATTGAGCATAATATGAATCTTAACTAAAGATAACTAGACTGTACTATTGTGATCAGCACAGGGAAACCTGCTGGAACTATCTGATTCTACCCAAAATATTTTGCCAATTCATGTGATTTTTAAGACTAAGGAAATATACTTGTGAAGTGGAGATGATAATCTTGAAATTAATCAATTATTTTTCACAAGGTCATGGGTATCATTTTAATGTGCACATACACGAACAGTACTCGCAATGACACACATGACACATGTACAGTCTCGTTCAAGATTCTTCGAACACTGCTGGAGACAGCTGGCAACTCGAGGCCGTTTGTTTACTATAGTACGTAGTAAAAATTATGCATGCAGTATTTGCCAACAGTGCGTGACAGAGACGTGACCGATCGCCCAAGCGGCTAACAAGCCGATCAGTGGCGAAGAGGATAAAAGTAAAAGTAAATCAGTGTCCTCACTTGGAGCTGGCGGACGCTCGCCCCACAAGGGGTCACAGCTCAAGATTGAAGAAGCCGCAAGTCCAGAAAACCGTGAGGGCAAACTTTTTCGGAGTGAGGGTTGTAAACTCTTGGAAAAATCTACCAGAGAGAGTTGTGACGGCACCGAGTGTGAGCTCTTTCAAGACAAGGCTTGACCAACACTGGAGCGGGTTCAGGTACATTCAGGAGCCGGTGCATGCCCAGTATCTGCCAACAGTGCGTGACAGAGACGTGACAGATCGACCGGGCGGCTAGAGAGCCAATCTTTTGGTGAAGAAGATAAATGAAAAGAGACGTGACCGATCGCCCAAGCGGCTAACAAGCCGATCAGTGGCGAAGAGGATAAAAGCAAATCCAGTTTCCTGGCATATTGAATATAGGTGCTAGAGAATAAACTGTCTTACCTGCTACAATACAAATCACCTCTGAGATCTCACATCTTTATCAAATTGAAAGATTAGAAAGATACAGATAAAAAGCAATAAGTCAACTATAAAACAAGCATAACTTTTGTGATAGATAAGAATACCTGTTTTGGCTAATATACGATTCATGACCGTCAGCAGTTTGGTAATTATGGGGGTGTTTTTAGACACAGTTTTGTACACTGATTACTTACACTTCTATTTATCATCTTGGGCAAATGCATTGTTGTCTATGTATAGGTGAGGTAAGATAGCATTCTTACAGTCGCATCATCAGCTGTGATGTGGAAGATGTAAACAATGTACCGTGAGGGCTAATATACGAGGGTGGGCGTGAGCAGTTAAATAATTATAGTTTTTTTTTGGACAGTTTTGTATGCTGATTACTTTCAGTTCTAGTTTTTTGTGTAAATGCTTAGTTTTTTAGATATAGGTAAGTTATGATTTAGGTTAGGTTAAGTTATGTTAGCCCATAATTTCAGCCTTTGTTTTATTTTTCCCACAATACAGTATCCTCTAATAAAATAAGTGAAAACTGAGTACTGTATTTTAAAACTATTTTCAATGAAAAACAACGGCTGGTTACGAGCCGAATAATTGCTCGTTTTTTATAGGTAGGTATGAGGCTGGTAGTGATTGATTGATTTATATGTGTACTTGATATGATAATTACATAAAAAAGTTGTATTCAATGATAATGAGATAATAATCACAGCAATATGAAGTGTTTTCTTATATTACCTGTAACACTGTGACACGTCAGGGTGTAATTCGCGATCTATAATAGTATGGTCTTCAATCTCGTATGATTTGGCTTCATAAAAAGTAATACCGTAGTCTCGCCGTCTAACTATGGTACTAGCGTTTTCTATTGTGTTGTCTCACTGAAAATGGTACACGATATAAAGGGGTAATTTGTATACTGTGTGATGTTTTATACGAATTATACCAAGAGTCTGTGCATATAATCTTAAGTCTGTATATAGATAGTACTAAGGGCGAATTTAAGGTACCTATATGATGGTTAGGAAGACCCAAATGGTAATAAATAGTGTGGTATTGTGATTGAATAAGTGTAACAGTGTCTGAACCCTGATGTTTTTGTGTTTACGTCAAGGATAATAAGTTACCAAGTACAGTATAGTTATCTTGTGTGACAGGTATAACGATCTGAGAATATCATAATTGCATTAGATATAAATTTTTGTGTTATATTTGATCCATAACTATGTTAAAGGGAAGTTATGTTATTTACGTCTGTGTGAGGTGAAGAGACATCGTTTTATCATTTGAAGGATAGCCATGGACAGCGTCATGGTTCGAGATTTCGAGAATTTTGCAGGAGTGGTGAATGAATGTGAAGTGATAAGGATAACCCATAGACTCTGTGTAAAGCGAACTGGAATATATCAAGCCAAGCACCAACCCACACAACTTGTACATATGGGCCCCATATGGTGATAATCAGGGATCCTTTCCTGGGATATGGGCGGACGCTTGCCAAGAAGGGCACTGTAAATGCTCCAGGACCATGAACTCGTTCTGTTTGGTAAGTAACTTGTTTGAGAAGTATTTGTGTTTTCAAAATTTCTAAAATAATGCCATGTACTGCTAACAACAAAGACTTTTGGTAATTAAAAACTTTTAATATATGAAAATGAAAAGTAGGGTAACCAGCCCTCTAACTCAGATTAGTGCATTGCAGCATGGACCTATGCTGCCATACGTAGCCTATACAGTACTGTGTACAGTATATAAATTGGTGTATAAATAAGGGTCCCATGATTATCCCACATATGTGATATTTACGCGGCCCATGCCTAAAACATCTGGGCCCCATTACATTCATACATAAGGGCCATTAAAAAAAATTGCTGGGTTCCACATAAAACTGCCCAGATGGGACCCACACTATTCTTTGGTGC